AAGCACTACCCAGATCTGAAAGTGCATCTGATAATGGGAAGTATTTACATTCTCTGTCACTGTCACTATGTTTAGCCCTGCCAAATGTAAATGAATTAAACAAATTCAAGGACTTTTCAAGATGACTACTAAAATTCAAGACCTTTTCAAGATTGTGCAAACTATGATGGTAACTTACTCGTTTCTCAGCCAGGCTTTTTTCGTTCTCCTTCTTCCTGCTCTTGGCCACCCAAGAAGCAGCAGAATCATCATCATCACTATCTGCTGCACCCAGACTTTTTACTTTACTATGCAAGAAAAGATACAAGCCACAGTTCAATGGAAGTTTTTGCAAGATAAATTTAATAACAATGAGAAAAGAGACAGTATAGATTGTAGTAATGATTACTATTTTGCACAAGTATTGATCAAGAACCAGGGACACATTCCACCTGCAGCTGTAATGAAGAGATTTTGCATGGCCTACTTCCAGCTAGTCTGCTACACAGCCGTTTTTAGTGTCGTCACGCAAGGGAGGAGCGTTGCGTGACGACACTAAAAACGGCTGTGTAGCAGACTAACTTCCAGCTGACTTGTGCATGATTCATATTATAGCTCATAATTAAATATTTTAGGTTAAAATGTTTCAATTAAGGTTGATTATCAATTTCCTTTGTCTCCTAGCCCTAAATCACAGATAATTACATTATTAGAGCTAGGAGAAAAAGACCACAGTTAACTGAAATTCAGTTTTGACCTATAACACCTTGGTGTGCAGTTCAAACAGTAAAGCGTTGGTTGTGCAAAAGTAAGTCATAGGGTCACCTCCACAAGAATAATGGAATTTTTTCTCCTCTTCACAGATCAATAAAATAATATCAATATTTTCTACTATGAAAGCTTCTAACGATAAGACAAAGTTTTCTTAAAATCAGCAGGGAAATTGAGAAAGGAGACCAAACAATAATAATTTTTAGTGCAACTACATGTAATGGACATGTACATGAGAATCACATGTGTGTATACGTACTTATTCTTCTGTAATTTTTGTACAAATTGACATTTAACTACTAATTAAACTCACCCTAGTTTCTTGTTTATTCTTCTCTTTTCTCTCATTTCTTCCAGCTTTCTTTTAAACTAAATATTATTGTAATAGTGTATAAAAAGACAGAATTAAATTTTACTTGGGTGTGTCTCGTTCTTCATGCAACAAGACATCATGCAGAAACACTTACAGGGGACATGTACATGAAGCAGTATAAATTATGAATTTTCCAGGAAAGATCAATAAATTTGACTCTTCTCGTAATTATCAGTTCTCCTCGACAATTCCACACAGTAAATGCACAATGTACAAAGCAGAACAAAAAGATGTCAAGCGAAAAAAAAATCATCTTCGAGAATCAGTGGTCACACACGTAGCCTGTAAGCAAACTCTCTCAGCCATGACTGGGTTCAACAGGAGAAAATGGGAGAAAAAGGGAGAGAAAGAATCATGAATTTAGTTGTATTTTAGAGAATTTGCCTTACTCAAAGTTCAACATGTACCTATACATGGGTGGGTCTTAACTTTTATATTAATTCTTACAGGCACTACAATAGACCTTCCACATTTTTCCCTTCAATTTTTGACTAGTACATGTAAGTCAGTAATCCAAAGGTGATATGCCCACAAAGCAAGCAAAGATAATTATTGCAAGCAAAATTTTTGTGGACATTTGTACCGTACGCTGGTGGTCTGTGTGTGTGTAGGGGGAACATCTGGCCCCCACCATACAGTGTACCAATGTCTGTACATTTTTATGACTTTGCACAGCTATATCTTTGTTAGATTCCAAAAAATCACTTTCAAATATGGCGGCTTTACAGATTTTAAGGCGTTCTTTCCTGTCATGTTGACAGTTTATTGCTCACTGGTCATAGTCAAAATTTTGAAAACAACCATGGAGATGTCTATTAGAGCAATTTACGTATGACCTTGAAATGAAAATGCGCAAACAATACAGAAACAACAAAAGAACGGAAATAGAGCAAATTGATTGGTTTATTGAACAGATACAAATGCAGGTGGCTTTTGGTTGGTTAAGGGAACACTTGGCTGAAAAAACTTCATGCCCAAGAACTTGCTGGAAATCAACCGATACTTTGCTGTGATGTCATACTGCAACATGATTGGCCAATCAAATAATGCCCTCTCCATAATGATATTAGGGTGAAAACGAAGAGGCCCTGTTTTGATCTTTTCATCCATTGACTGTTAAAACAAATAATGTACACTTACTGAAACCATTGTTCAAGGTCATACGAAAATCACTCTAACTGTCTCAAACTCCCACCATTTTTTTCTAACTCTGATTATTTCAAAAGTTACTGGAATCCCTATTAAAGTAGCATATCTTTATGTAAAATTTTACATGTACGTGTACATATAGTACAACTGTAAGCAAAGTTAGGGCAACTAAAACAACAAACTTACATTTTCAGTTTCTTTCTGGTCAGAAATGTTGGTTGCAGGAACATGAACATCTTCTTTGGATGAAGTGGTTTTGCCTGAGCAGGATTGAAAGAAAAAATTGACTCTAAAGGTTTCAGGATATCATACATTCTGTACAATGTACATCTGTATGACAAACTGCATGAATAAGTTCTACGCTTAAGTTATTTTGATGGTGAGGTCCAATAGCTATAGATGAATCCAGGTGAGGACAAAACATGGACCAGGGGTCCATGGACCCCCACTTTGGACCGGGTCCATGGACCACTTTATGGACCGGGCCCATGGACCCCCTGTCATGGACCGGGTCCATGGACAGTTTTTTTAATAACGAGAAATGAACAAAAACAGAAATAGTGCAAAAATAAGTTAAAAAACAACAACAACAACAAACAATGCTCTATACCTGCCAACTCTCACGCCTGCAGGTTGAAAACTTCGATCTCACGCCGGCTCACACCTGCGGGCCAATTTCTCACGCCTGATTGAAAAATGTGAGTTGTTGCCGTCTAGCTTGACACAATTTTCAAAAATATGTTAACTCAGACCCATGTAAGGAACGAAAACCATGTGTAAAATGAATAAATGACAATATCTTCCTCTCGATCTCTGATTTTGTGGATAAGCGTTTTCTCGATAACTTAGCCTTTGGCAGACTTCAGACGTCTTCGGAAGACTTTGGACTTCTTCGGGAATCTTCGGAAATGATTGTGTCGTCTGCAAAAATCCCAGCACTCCCAGGATAAAAATCTCACGCTTATAACTCAGAAAAAGTTGGCAGGTATAATGCTCGATTGATCAGTAATGTTTAATTGTGCTTACAAAGTGTAAAAAAAGGGGGGGAGGTCGGTACCTCATGCCAAAATGCTGCTTGTTCCAATGAATTGTTTTCTGTGATGGGTAGATTATGCTTCGGAGGAAAACCTTTTGACTGAGCAAATGTGAATTTTTGCCGCTTATTTCCTACTGGGAGGTCGTGACACACATATTGATTTTCTACCTCTTTTAAAATGTAAAGCTGTTCATTGCGGCTGATTGAAAGGGTGTTAGGTTGTTTAATATCTCCAAAGTGCATCCTGGATCTGAATAATTCTAAGCCACTTTCTTTTTGTCCACGAATGTCAGTTTTTCCTGCAATGTTTTGTCACGCTGGGCCCAGCTCCTTAGCGCTTTCAGCAGGACGATTATAAATTCTCACGGATAGTGATTTACAGATCCAGATCGCGAAGAAGAAGAAGTGGCAATGGATTGTAGCTTAACCTGAAACTACATCAACTATATATGGAGAATTGCGATGTGACTCAGTCATGATTGCTCTAAAAGCAATGAATTCTTAACTCCAGCTTGTTTTTCTAAGGGTGATGCGAGTCTTTGTACTGGAGCGCGTAATTCCTCTCTTGATGATAACTTTTGAATTAGCTTAATTTAACAGTCTTGCAACTGCATATGTGCAAGCAGAGTGTACGTCATGTAAGCTCAACTAAATATTTGTGATCAATCGTGAGCATTGGTCGACAACGTCTTGTCAAATCTTTTTTTGGCACTATTTCTGTTTTTGAGTGTCCATGGACTTAGTGCAAAACCTTCTTATAAAAATAAAAAAACTGTCCATGGACCTGGTCCATGACAGGAGGTCCATGGACCTGGTCCATGAAATTGGTCCATGGACCCGGTCTAAAGAGGGGGTCCATGGACCCCTGGTCCATGTTTTGTCCTCACCTGATGAATCCTTGTTTATAGTTTTTGCCTCATTAGCATAGGCTTACAAAATTTACAAAGTTCATTAATGTTTTGCCACCCAGTAATTTTACAGTTTCTAATTGCTGCTATTTTCTTTGCTAATGACTGCAAAGAGTTCAAACTTGAAAAAACTGCATAAATTAACCAGTTCTTGTAATTTTTTAACCTAACTGGTATATTAACCCATTCGCCCCTGAACCGCCTGTAACCGCTCCTGCGGATCCACGTCCTTTCTTCCCTTTGTGACGCCATCTGTTTAAACGGTCAAGGACAACTTTATGCTTTTCTTGCCTCATTTTTTTTTCTCTTGCTGGGCATTTAGTAGGCTTCATTTTGGTGGAAAAAGGTTTTGAGAAAGCTTTTGAGAAAGCTTTTTAGGATTATATGAAAGGAAAGATAGGTGGGTGGTGGAAAAAGATTTGCCTGGAAATTTTCAGGTCAATGTTACATGGTTTTTTTGCCTTTTTCTCTGGAGTCATTGCAGGAGCGGATCTAGGGGGAGGGTGCAGGGGGTGCGCACCCTCCCCTGAGATGACCTGCGGTTTTCTAATACAATTGGTATTCTGCAAAAAAAAAAAACTATGTGATTTATTGGTGTTGAAGTAGAGCAAGAGACGAGTGCACCCCCTCCTAAAAAAAATCCTGGATCCGCCCCTGCATTGACTGAATAATAATTATTGTGCTCATTCTGGTATGGTTTGAAAGATCTCTTCACTCTGCACAAGTTAGCAGACAAAATTGTCCTTGACCATTGAAACTGATGACATCACAAGCGGTAGAAAAAACGTGGATGTGCACGGACATTATGAGCAGCTCAGAGGCAAATGGGTTAATAACTTTATACTTGCAACAAAATTGACAGAATTAATTGAAGATGTAAGATGGTGTATTTTGTTACAGGTCAAATTTTGATTTGAGGTGACTTTTGAATTTACCTTTAGCTACAGGGTTGTAAGTTGATCCTCAATTTCTATTGCCTTCTATCTGTAGCTAGTCCTTACTAGTAGCCTACACCACAGATGAAACTAAATCTCTGGTTAAGTCCATCTGCAAGCCAGGGCCGAGTTGTTCAGGGTTAGTGTGAGATTTGAATTCAGATTTGCAAGCTTAAGAGCGTGTCTCCGTAAAAACCGACCAGTGATTTTGGATCAAAAAATTAATTTTCCTTATATTCTGGGATATTAAAGCCTCCACCTTAGTAGTTGCAAAAATGCATTTCGTTTGACCGAAAGTGATAAATATATTTTTTTACGAATTTTTGAATTTCCGGGCGGTCAGCGCCGGCGCCATAGCCGTTCAAAGTGCGAAAATCGCTAATATTGACCGCTCTAGAAAACAAACACCTGGCTTAAAAAGACTGATTTTCTTTTCCGTATTCAGATACACCACTGTAGATTTCCTAGCCGTATCACAGTTCCGAATTATTTGTTTATTTCCAACGGCAATGATTTTTTTCCCCAGCACGTGTTTTCGGCTTTCCATCAAAACACCTAAAGTAGCTCAACTTTGAGGGTAATTTTAAAAAAGTGTGGCACCTGTCTGAGCTTCGCTATCTGTATGAATACAATCTAGGAATGATAATAAAACTCAAAAAGGAATAACATTTTTGTGCTCTCCACGTTTTCAGAATAGGCCGCCGTTTGAATTTCCAGAAATTTCGTAAACCAGATAATTAACGAACACTCGCCTTGTCGATCTGCTTGTCAAAGTCCAACTTCATTTGATGGCTTGATGGGTCTTATCCAAGTTCTTTCACATTTTAAGGTTATTTCTTAATCATCTGAAACTATATTGGCCGTTGATTCCATGTCCTTGGTCCGTTTTAAGAAGTTATCTTGTTTATAAAATGGCAGTATCCGCCAGCGTGACTGGTTCGTGACACCGTCCTGAAAGGTCTTTTGCTAACATTAGTTGGATGCAATCTTGTTCATTGAGATTACTCTTCAAGACATCGCGGGGAAATTTGTAGAGCAAATAAAACACTTTTCTTTGCAAATAAAACGCGATGAGTCGCTAACAAGGCGATTTAACCCAGTTCAGATTAAAGTTGAAATTTGCGTGACTTTTTGTATTTCATCCCCAGTCCTTCTGGACTGGACACAAATCAAACAAGGGGTAACATGGCTACTGATACAGTGAAGTGTTCTTTCTCGGGCTTCGGAAAATCTAGTTTTGGAGGTTTTCGAGGTTCGGATACAGTATGTAGGTTGCGAGAATGCCAGAAAGATATAACGATCCACTTGAAGACATGCCATCTTTCAAAACTATCTGGAATGATGGAGTGCGAACTGATACTAGTCAGGGCGGGGCTATTCGATGTGCCAAAACACCGGCAAGAAGAAATGTTCGTGTGTCCAAAACACAGACATAATTTGGGTCGCAACTGGCGTCCGTTGAGGACATGTCGATATCCTCTTCATTCAGGAGCAAGGAAAAAGCTAAAAAATAATCATGTTATCAACTTGGAGATGTCCAAGAATATTCACGCAATTTTTGGAATCACAATTCCCATTGGGTCAGGTAAGCATTCTACTACACAATATTTTACGTTTTCCCTTTTTTGAGGAGCAACGATTGACACAGTTGGTTATTAAAGAGCCCTTGGAGTCTTCTGTGTGAGAGGTCTTGAGATTGATGTCCATGGCCAGGTGTGAGAAATTCTTTCCGTGTAGCTTCAAGTAGCTTAAATACCCGTAAAACGGAGTACTGATGAAGAGGGCGTTTAAAAGGTTTGTCTTTCAGATAATGATGAAATGATCATTTCAAGTACCGACGTATGTGAGGCGCCTTTACTTTTAACTTTCAATAGAATAAAAGAACTCTTAAAACCGAGGTAAATGTCATGGTCAAGTATTCCGAATTGTGTAACAAACTTTAAATCTAATTATAAATAAAGACTAAAAGAGAAGGTCGAGGGAATAACCATTCAACGTTGTTGTAAAACCTTGAAAGGGAATCGTTCCATAAGGTGTTTATTTTTCCGGCTATTTATATCATAACCAGTTATATTTTTTGGCAACAGTGCCACGATGTAAGTGTAGAAATCTTGGATTGAGTAAATAACAAGTATGAAATGAACATTCTTGTTTTACATTGTTTGGTCAAGCGCGTTAGTATAATTAGGACAAGTATATTTGTTACAACACAGACGTTCAAAAATACACAAGGGGCGCTTTCCATTTAGTCAAAATTTCCGGAATTTCCGGTTCGGCGGTAAATGGAACACGTTTCGTCGGTTCGTCCCACTGGAAAATTCCCAGAAAAAGTGGAAAATCTAAAAAGGTGGTCCCGTTTTCCCGGTTGGAATTTCCGAACGGAATGTCGTGTTCCATTTACGTTTCTCGTAGTTTGTACCAGTTCCAGGTCCACGGTCGGGCACCCGGCCACGTACCGGGGTTTACGACCAAATGGAACAACTTTTTACCAATCGGAAATTCCACTTTTGCTGCCACCGAAATTTCCGGTTTTTTTTCGTAAATGGAAAGCGCCCAAGTATTCCTGGATTTTTGCGAGATTTAAAAGGTGCTTAGAATGTCTTTACAGGACTGTCTATTTTTTACGTTGATTCATAGCGTTCTATTTTTCAAAGTAAGAGATAATTTCGGTAAAGTAGCCTACATGCACGTGACCCACGAAATTATGCGAAACACTTGGCAATGTTCCCCTTCTTTAAAAACCCTATTTTGTGAGTATCGGGGATTTTGTATTTGAAACGTTTTTTAACCCTGCTATATGCTATATCCTGAAAACTATTTTTCCGACACCTCAAGACCTAACCGCGAGATTAAAAACTGTTTTGAGTTTATTTTGCCAGTTGTCAAATATCAATTCAGTGTTGGTTCTAAAAGTAAGTTTTACGCTACGAATCGACTTTGACTAAAAGTTAAATTCATCATTGTGATACTTTTTAATGCACAGCAATTTGCACTACTTGTGTCAAGAAGCAAAGACAAAAATATGAGGAAAATAAACATTGGCTGGGGGAAAACACTGAGAGTGAGAAATTAGGGGAATATGAAGAGACAAGGTGTGTTTAAGGTGACTTGACCCAGTTTTTTTTTGGGGGGGGGGGTGCCATCCTACTTTGAAGCTCTCTGGTATCCCCACCTTTACTTTTATCGTAAGTCTAACACATAGAATGTATAACGTATAGATCAATCTACAATACAACATAAAATTTTTGGCGATCGGAGTAAATGTCATGTGGTTATAATGCCACGCCCCTTTGAGGTCTGAGTCAAAAATCTGCTGTTGCCGGTATTTTTTCGTGAAAATTTCTCGGCTACACATAGTGCGCATTAGTGCCTTGCCCAACCAAAATCGCAAAGACCCAATTCGAGAAATTCAGCGGTTTCCAAATTTAGGTCATAATTTATGTGAAAATGATAAGCAAACTTTACACGATTATATCTAATAAACTATGAGATTCATCCCTTTATTTTGGGCATCGTTATAACAGATGGGTCCTTGCAAGTCAGCAAAGAGCTTTAGGGCCTTGTAAATGCGCGTGATTTCGAGCAAAGCAAACATATAGAAATTATAGTTTTCGCTATTTGTTGACGTTTGTCAGCGTTTAAGAGCCTTCTCACGAAAACAGCATTTTCTTAAAAATTAAGTAGTTTTTTTTTCCTTCAAATTTTTTTTCAGAGCCACAATTGATTAACTAACTACCCGGACTCTGACTTTCATGGTCATTGAAATTTGAAAAACTGTGACATTATCTTCTCTAAGCCCAGACTTGAGTAAACAAGATCAGAAAGGACTGGGCAACAAAATTTACATCAGTGGACGTGGCTGTGAAAAAATCTACACCATTTATGTTGGCGTCCGAATCATCAACTGACGTAGACACCCTGCAGATGGGATGGGCACTAAGCAAGGCCCACGCAGGTTCCATCCGGTTTTCTCGTGAGGTTAAAGAATATCTTACAGCCAAGTTTGAAATTGGTGAGCGAACTGGCGCAAAAGGCGGACCCTGTTCAGGTTGAAAAGGATATGAGAACAGCACGGAATGTGAATGCCAGGGTCCAGTTCAATGAATTTCCGCGCAGCGTGGGGTCCTGGGAAGGACGTGGAAACTGTAGTAGCGTGGCCATGGTTTCTCAATTCTCTTAGCTGAAATGTGTTGAACCATTTTTGTCAGTGCGTTTATGTTAAGCTGAAGAAGAAAATGTATCGAAGTATGGCGATTCAATGTTAATCACATCGAACTTTACAGAAAATGTTAGGAAACAACCGTGTCACGCTCGCAACTGATGACGATCTCTATTACTTTTATACAAACTAGATAAAAGATGCCGTTGAACTTGAAGGACAGGTTTTAAACAAAAAATTCTATGTTTTTAGAGTTAAAGCGGCTACTTCAGGAGCAAAAATATCCTCTACAAAAACCAAGAGGGACATTACAACCTAAGAAGTTAATAAACAAGTGAACGACCTAGTATTTGTTCAGGTCATCACCCAATGCAGGAGAACTGGGGATGAAATACAAAGTCACGCATTTTTCAAGTTTGTCAGAAGACTTGGTTAAAACGCTTTGTCAGCGACTCATCGCGTCGTATTTGCAAAGGAACGTGTTTTATTTGCCCTACAAATTTCACTGCGATGTCTTGAAGAGTATAATCTCAATGAACAAGATTGCACCCAACTAATTTTAGCAAAAGACCTTTCAGGACGGTGTCACGAACCAGTCACGCTCGCGGATGGCTGCCATTTTATAAACCAGATAACTTCTTTAAACGGACAAAGGACATGGAATCAACGGCCAATATAGTTTCAGATGATTGAGAAATAACCTTAAAATGTGAAAGAACTTGGATAAGATATATCACACCATCAAATGAAGTTCGACCTTGACAAGCAGATCGACAAGGCGAGTGTTCGTTAATTATCAAGTTTACGAAATTTCTGGAAATTCAAACGGCGGTCTCTTCTGAAAACGTGGAGAGCACAAAAATGTTATTCCTTTTTGTGTTTTTCTATCATTCCTAGATTGTATTCATACAGATAGCGAAGTTCAGACAGGTGCCACACTTTTTAAAATGGGTGATTCCAGAAAATATCCATACCATACCACGGGCGGCATCTTGGAATTCCGAGGGAGAGGGGGGGTTTCTTGGACTGGAATTCCGAAGACGTGGGGGGGGTAACGCAGTTTGGAATTCCAAAGGCATGGGGGGGTGTTTCAGCTCTGAATTCAGTGAATTTCCAGAGGAAAGACGGCGAAAGCTCCGCTTGAAATCGCTGACCTGTTAACATTCCCAGTTTGTAAATGAAGCACGAACCGACCACGGAAGAAGTATGCGTTCATGCAGATGGGTAAGCAGATGGTTTGTGCAGCAAGCTCCACATCGAAGAGGCCTTAAAGTTGATGAATTAGTCAACTGATCAATAAAAATATAACCAAGTCGGTGTTTCTCGCCGATTGTCGATCGACGATGTGTTGTTGCGTGCTGAAAACTCGCACCAGTCTCTCGTTTCCAAATAGAACGCCTGACAGATTTTGTATGTCACGCCGATTTTCACGCCAACATGTAGGTAGTAAAATCCGACACCGTGCCTTTTGATGCGCTGTTTAATTCAAAACTGTTTATGAACAGAATTCTTTTGCAGAGGGAAAAAGTGCAAGTTTCTCGTTCGTTTGAAGATTTAGGCAGACGAACAGGAATTCCAAAGGGTCTGAAACAAAAGTGGAAAATTCCGGAGGAGAGGGGGGGTTAGTGATTTTGGAATTCCGAGGGCAAGGGGGGGGATAAGCATTTTGGAATTTCCGAGGGCAAGGGGGGGTTAAAATACTCATGCCACCCGTGGTAGGGTATGGATATTTTCTGGAATCACCCAATTACCCTCAAAGTTGAGCTACTTTCGTGTTTTGATGGAAAGCCGAAAACACGTGCTGGGGAAAAAATCATTGCCGTTGAAATAAACAAATACTTCGAAACTGTGATATGGCTAGGAAATCTACAGTGGTGTATCTGTATACGGAAAAGAAAATCATGCTTTTTGAGCGAGTTGTTCGTTTTCTAGAGCACGGTCAATATTAGCGATTTTTGCAGTTTGAAAGGCTATGACGCCAGCGCTAATCGTCCGGAAATTCAAAAATTCGTAAAAAAATATATTTATCACTTTCGGTCAAACGAAATGTATTTTTGTAACTACTAAGGTGAAGGCTTTAATATCCCAGAATATAAGGGAAATTAATTTTTTGATCCGAAATCACTGGTCGGTTTTTACGGAGACACGCTCTTAAAAAGCATTTCCGTTTTAATTCTTTTTGTCTACAAGTTGATGACTGGAAGCTCTAAAAATAACAGAGAAAATTATCTGTGAAAATGTTTTTGAACACAAGAAAGAGAAACCCGGGTTAAATTTAACCCTGGGTTAAGCGCTAATTGGCCTTCGAACAGCGGGCCTTGGACTGAAATCCTTTTTCTGAACCCCTGCCTGTGTCAGAGATGCCAACCTCTGAAGATCTAAAATCTGGAGTTTCTCTCTTTTTCACTACCCCCCTGAAATTCAATGAACCCCCACCCCCCCCTCCCCAACCCCGACAAATATGGGTATGACTTAGGACATTATATGAAGTCTTACTTGAAGTACATTGTAAATACCATCAAAACTTGCAATCATCGTTTTGGTTCCAGAAAAAATCTTTGTCAATGACTAAATAGGTGCAAAAATGCCCTAGAAACTATACTACGAACAAGAAAATTTCAAGTTTTGAGCTAAAATTGGGCTAAATCTCAAACTAAGGCACAGAAAAGCTGCAAAGATGATTTTATTCAGTTGTTATGGTGACCTGTATGGGAGACCGGGAGATTGGTGTCGTATCTGGGAGACTTCTCGATAATCTGGGAGGGTTGGCATGCATGCTGTGTGACAGGATTTGAGTAGGTGCTATGTTTGGTCTGTTCAAAAAGCCATTGTCAATTTGCCAGTCAGGTTTGAGGGATCTTATTGTTGCTTCGCAGACAGTAATAGCCAGGATTAGATCATGTCTGTGCCGACAAAGGAAATTGATAATCAACCTACACTGTAGGTTAAAAAACTTCAACCTGAAATCAAAATTGACCTGTAACATAGATTGTGCAGAGATGTACTTTACCTTCTGTGTCTGCTGATGAATCAGGGATTTCAAGTGGCTTAAGTCCAAGTTTGATTCTTAATTTACTGAAAAGTATTACCATAAATTGGTCAGTACAGCAGCACATTGATACAACAAACCATTAAATACTGTAACAAAGTCAACCTCACTAAAAGAACTGACAACCTGTGCCCCAGTAACAGTAAAACGTAAGAGAACCAGAATATATAGAACTATGGAGTGCACGTGGCAGTGATCGGAGGTCCAAATGCAGTCAAAATGCTTTTGCTCCAACACTGCACTTTTATGTGAATTTCACCTTTGGTCAAAATACATGGTATCAGATTACAAGGGTAGAAGGTTGAAACGTGCATGAAAAAATTGCGTATGGCGCATTCCATTCATGTTTAGTGACGACGCATGTGTAATAACAACCTAGAGATTAGGATTGTGGGCTCCTCTTGTCACCCGCACAACTTGGTTGCAGCTCAAAACAAGATAAAATACACCAACAATCAACTGTACATAAACACTTCAGAATCTATAGATCATAGAAATGAGGTTATAAAAAAATATATCAATATTCTCCAACCCTAAATGGGGCAAGCAGGGTTTTTCTTACAAAATTTTGAAGATTTTGAGATGTTTTGCCAGTCTGTGATCTACCACAAGATGCTTTAGCAATGATGATGGCAACAGGTAGGGAAAATGTCACTGTTAAAAAGGACTTGCATGTTTTCAAACATTGTTATTTAACTCACTTGAAATATCACATGTACAGTGTACGTAAATAAAAATTTCAAAGGAATTAAATTTTTAGGGAGAAAACCTAAGGGAATTTTATAATTATTGTAGGTGTGCATTCTACATGTGCAGCAAAACAACAGTTACTAATGATTGCAAATTTTGCAATCATTAGTAACTGTTGTTTTCCTGATTAAACCTATTCCTTTTTGATGTTCTTGTTGCCGTCACCCTCGTAATTGCTACAGCTCCCTACTGATTGGTGCATGGCGAGACCTTATTATTAACAGATTGGTCCCTTCAATTACTTTAATTCAAGTCTGGAAGCGGGGCTCTGGATCACAAATTTAGCTTTTAGCGCGTTGATTCTTGAACCCCAGACATGTAGTAACCCTATTTTATGATCACCACTTCTCAGTTATTTCTTAAAGTATAAAGCATTAATTAAAAACAGATATTTCAAAAAACTATCGTGATACTATTGCAATAGTACCTCCACTATCGCAATACTATCGACATATCCACCTGGTCTATAGTCACCCCTTACATGTACACATTCATCAGTATTTTTTAAGGCTTACTTTGTTTCTTCAATACTCAGTGATATTTCTCCACCTTCTTGATGGTTTCGCGACATGTCATTATCTGATAAGAACATTGGAAAACACACTTAAGAACAGCTTGGTAACTAGAATAGCTACAGATAGTTCTCACCATACCAAAAGCATATTAAACATTGAACACGCGTTCCAGTCCAAATTAACCATACCGTTGCTATGATCATCGCGCGTCGATTCCTCCACAGCATACTCATATAAATCATCATACTCTTCTCTTTTAGCCCTTTTTTTCTCTACACTTTCACCGTCCTCTGCTGCTGGATGACTTCGCTTCTCTTTTGCTCTGTCATCCGTTCTCCTCCTTTCTTTATCCGAGTCTTTGTCACGATCTTTATTACTGTCTCGTTCACGGTGTTTTCGTTCCCTGTCTCTCCTCTTTTCTCGGTCTCTATCCTTGTCTTTTTCTTTGTGTTTCTTTGAGGATCCCATTTTAAATCAAGACAAGGACGAAACCCGAACAGAAGGTTCGCTTCCTTGACGTTTAAACATTGGCGGCCATGATGACCATTGCACTTAGTGACCAGGCACTCGAATTTGGCAACCTGGCCTTCACCTCGACCTCGCCTTAACCTCGTTTTGATCCAGAGGCTCGGGGAAAGGCGAAAGAAATCGAGGTTCAGGATGTGATTTGATCACGCGACATGGAGTAAAATTTTTAATTGAGCTGAAAAGAACAAGGAAACTTTTATTTTACTCAAGGTAAGAGAAACAACTCGTGGAGTAGTTTCCTGCTGGTAGAGTCACCTTTTTTACGGGAAACGATCCAAGAGTTCTGCATGTTAGTAGGCAGCAGTAGGGTCTGACAGGTTTTAATACAGTCAGTCTCCCGTCTGCGTTTGTCGCACACCGGGGAGAGTATGGCAGAGCTCGACGAGATCTCGCGCGTAAAAGGCCGTTTTCAGGCCCTTATTACTTATATAATGTTTTAAAAAAATACTCTCCCGTGCACCTACCATACTTTATAGACTGGAATTTATTACTGTGAGTGAGTCAGTAGGGAAGAGGTGCAAGCCCTCTCACGGGGGTACGTATGTGTCCTTAGCCTGAATTTTCGTGGATTGAGGAGGAAGTAGCCTGCGTAGCGCTGTTCTTTCTTGCGCCCACTACTTCCAAGCGCCTGCTACGCAGGCTAGGAGGAAGCCATGTCTGTGTCGGTATTTTGCTTTTGTAGTTGCGCTTGTCTTTGACGCTTTCGCAGACATGTCAACTCTCACAATTCTGCCGTGAGTCTTTTTAACTTTTCTCACGGCCTCATGACAACACTCACAATCTCATGGTTTTTTGGGAAAAATCATTCTGAAATGAAATGAAATGTTATCTTGCTGAATAAAAGGGAAAATTCAATGGGGAATTCTGGTGCCTGTTCAAGCCTTGTTGAGACTTGTCTATAAACGGTTTGGCCATGACCAGTTGGCTTTATTTCCGGAAGAAACAACATACCTCTTGCTATTCATGTAAGTTTCCTCTTTTTTTGAAGGATGATCACTTAAACTTAGAGCCATTAAAGAAAGCAGGATCTTGTTACAACAGGAACCAACATAAAAATCAAATGCGCCTGAAAGCTATAACCATGCCTCCCCCACCTCCCGACTGGGCATTTGCGATTTTTTTCTTTCTTGGAGGTCTATTCCCCACCCCAGGGTACACAGGAAGAGACAATTTCCCACCCCCAAGCTCCTGATTGACCTCATATACAATTTTTTCAACATCTTTATACAAAAGCAAAACAACACATTTTCACAACTTTTATGAACATTTTCCTGAGTTTATTGAGAGTCAAAGGATAATGGATGTCATAATGCATTTAAAACATGAACAATAAATTTGAAAACAAAGAAGAAAAACTTTTTAGTTCCTCCTTGAGAGAACACTTCATGAGAACACGTAGTACTGGACCAAATCTCTGTTTCTCTATAGGTGGTTTTCACAGTGACATCATCAAATTGTAAAATCAAAATAGTGAGGTTTTGTGAATTCTTATTTACACTAGGTTGAAGATAAACAAAAAGTAAATCCTTGTACCAGTTTCCATCCCCGTAGCATGTTTCATTTGAAAATACAGCAATTTGAACTTCCGAGTTTTTACAGTGCATGACACCAAATGCAAAATGGGAATGCTGTTCGTTGAAAAAAACTCTCTCCTCATGATTTTCAGAAGTATAACCATTTCAAGTATTAGAAGATATGTTCATGCGCACGTATGCTAGTTCTCGAGAGAAAAGAAAGAGCTTTTTTAAGAAAAGCAGGGTTGTCATTAAGAGCCAGGGGTCGGGGATTTTCCCCGGCTGCTAAGAGAGTGGCCCCCGGCTACTTTTATTGGAAAATAGAAGAAAAATAGAACCAAAAGAAATCCCTAGCCGTTTGATTGCCTGCCTACTTGTTGTAGAAAAAGTGATCTCCAGATGTTTTTGTTGATTTCCGGCGGCAATATCGTACACCAAAACGGTACACCAATATGGCGTCTCCATACAAAGCTCTGCAAAGGTGCATAAAACATTTCAGCAAATAACTCAGAAACTAAGGGACACAAAGACCTGAGACTTGGACAAATTGTTTATATATTAGTCTTTTATAACATTTCATTTTCTTGGCTTCTTCCACTGGACAGTGTCCAATTTATTTTTTTGTTGTGTGACAGTACACATATACATATAATATCAAAAGCCTTGTATTCTTTTTCATATAAAAACTTATCATTATTTAAAGTGAAGCTGAAGAAAATTAATATTTCTGGCTTCCTTTCCAGAAAATAAATCCATTAGAGTATGCATCATATGCACATTCATTGCAAATGTTAAAACATATCTTTAAATAAAGACTTTAATTTTGATAAATTATTCCTCCCCAACCACTCTCTGACAAATTCCTGCATTTTTCCTTAAAAATATGTAGTCTTGAAGTCCGCAGCCATTGTGTAAACCACGCAAGAAATAACTGGTACTTCGCAAAATCAAAGAGAAGATATTTTTTTTATTTGCCCCACCCACCTTCCCACCGGAACAGGACTGCCTCAAACAATTCCCCACTCCCAGACCTGAAGGGCTGGACTTGTCCCAGGGTTGCCCAGGGGGGATGGTAACAAGTAAAATTGAACAATGCATAAAACAAGGTAGTATTTTAATAAATACTTATTCCCAAATCTCCCCAAATCTTGCTCAGCAAAAAATAGAATTTCAGGTACTTTTTGTAGAATGTCCAGTTTTTTTTTTTTTTTTCATGAGTCTCCCAATTTTCCTTTATCATTGGTTGGCAGGTCTGCTTTTGTAGTGTCAGCCCATCTTTTTGTTGTTTGTTGCCATTTCATCTGTCTGGCGGTTCATACAAAGATCTTTGGGGAGTGCCAGGACTGACAAATCCTTCATTCCATGTACTTTGGTGGCTTTAGTTTTGAGGAGATGGAAAGGGAAAATGGAGAGTACTCCTGTTAAGACCCTGGGTTAAGAATAGTTTGTGCTGTGAATGTTCCCAAACTTTGACTGACTAAATTGATACACTTTTTAGGCCCAAATCTTAAAAAGGCCAGACTATTTTAGTAAGTGAAAACTAACAAACAGAATTTTTTGCCAGGGGCATCAGTTGTGATGCTTAAGAGTATTGAAATTTAGCATTTTGACTATTTACAGCTGTATCATTCTCACAACAAAAAGAAACATAATGACTATCTTGAAATCACTAAGTTCTTTAGACATTCTTATCACTGATGATGTAAATATACATGTAAGTTAGAGTTGTAGTAAACATCTATGTGTATTCCTCACCTTGAGTTGATTGTTGACTGAAATGATAAACCTTGTAGGTATTGCAGGTTCATCAAAGCATGCACTTAAAGTGCTGAAAAAAGCTGAAAACTATTGTCCTCCAGCCACCCTTCAACAGATACACTATTTATTACAAATGATTGTCACTGATTTCTAAGTGTGTGTCTCTTCTGAAATATCACTTTCAATTGTTTAGAGTTTATCCTTTACTGGAATACCTGGCTGAGAAAACCAGCAGGTCCATTATACAACAGTGATGCCATGGTATAATGTGAAAGTAATAGGTAAGCAAAGAGATAATTGGGCTACACATTTTTTTCCCGGTATGCAGCTAGTGTATTTAAATTAATTATTATTTTTGTTCTTAACTAACTGTTAATTTTTTGAAATCAAAGATAAGTGGCACAGAATTGAGTGGCTATACATACCAGTCTTGTGACCCTAATTCGAGGCAGTAGAGACCATAAAGTTTTTTTCGATGATGAACTTATGAATATATGAAAATCATATATGTGAACTGCGGGGTGAAGAATAATTCGTGTATGAAAGATGATCATCGCAGTTATAGACGCAACTTTAGCAGTTGAGAAAAGAAAGCCTAAAATAAATGTACAGGATTCGAACCCTTGACAGTTATGATCTTAGTGATCAGCATGCGGATAAAGGCAGGAAATACTATGGGGGCAGGGGGTGGCGGCCCCTTGTAGAAATTCAGTACATTTAAAGTATACTTTATATAGGTGATAAACACTTCAAAAAGTATACTTCATTTGTACTTAAAGTATACTTTAAGTATACTTACCAGAAGTATACTTTAAGTACACAACTTTTCGACATTTAAAAAGTATACTTGAAGTATACTTAAATGAAAGTATACTTGAAGTATACTTAATGGGAAGTATACTTCAAGTATACTTAAAATATACTTAAAGTATACTCAATGCAATATGTTAATCAATCACTGAGACACGTCAGACTTGGATCAATTATATTGTAAAATCATTTATTGATATAAGAAAAAAAACTACCCTTAACTTAAAGCAATACAAATGTACTAAGAAATTATAAAAAAATATATAGCAAATCTTGTTGAAATAGGTTTCTACAACATAAAAATATACATTTTCTATTCCTATCAAAGGAACTCACTGCATTTGATTACCATAATATATTATTCTTCTTGATTTTAGTAAAATTTTCATTGACAATGAGATCATTTCAAGGAAGGTGCATGTATATTAACAGGTTTCTTTCTGAACTTTCTTTAACTCACTTGTACTTACAAGACTTGGGTTTTATATTTTGAATTTACACTGCACTTTAGGCGATGTAAACAAGCTTTCACTTTGTAAACCTTAAGGCATAACTCGTGTGTCATTTGCAAATGACTCACAAAGAAGAATCGATGTATATTGAAATGACTGGAACCGATACATTTTTCACCCCAAAACTTACTTGTATCGTCAAAATTCAGTCATGGTGTACTTCTTTTGTTTTCTTTTCAAGTTCCACTCATATTGTACTCGAATTGTGAAGATAAATTAAAGGCAATATTCCAAGCGTATAAATATCTTGAAGACACTCTCAGCAAAGCTCAACGAACGTTCCTTCGAATCTGTATCGCCCGCCAAAACCATATATGGAAGTTAGGTATGCTGTAAATAATTCATACATGACCGTATTAGGAAATCCACAAGATCCCGTATATGTTCCGACGGTACTGGAAGTCAGCGGTAATTCAACACCTTCATATATACATTTCTTTCCTCAAACGTGAAGATGTCCAACGATGAGCGATGGTTTTGCTTCGAGGTTCTCGTTCTATTTCTTAAGGTCCTTGTAAAAAAGGAGGTAAAACGACCCCGGCCTTAATTACATCCAGTATCTTTTACTGCCAAATGCAAAAATTCCACGAAAGACGTCAAAGAAATGTCCGAAACTGTGCGACTTTGCCATTTCGCCCAGGGATCGGCGGATGATCTCCTTACGAAGGAAGTCAACTGAACAGCTAATGAGTGCCCTGTGTATCTAGAAACCTGTTATATACTTCACCACTCTGAAGAAATCTTTACACGATCTCAACTGTGTCCTTAATAGAAGAAAACTGATTTGATCTAAATAGTATTTTGAAGTTAAATTATACTTAAGGTGGCTCGACTGGATTTTTTTGGGGGTATACCTCCTACGTTTAAGCTTTAACCATGTCGACATGAGTAAAGATATGGGAAAAAGGTTACCACAACTGTATTATATAATGATGAAAATTTGTTATGATCTGGGTTTTATTGCAATCGGTGTCGCCATGGCAACGTAATGACGCCATTACGCTTTTTATTTATCTTTGTGTTTCTCTGTACCAGGAGTTTTTTGAAGAAATCGCTTAAGGGAGTATGTACCTGCCATAATTGCTTCCATTATGGCAAAGTTTCAACAAATTCTATGAGAGCGTTTTCGAAATATTTTGACACGCAGTTTTAACAATCATAAAAACAGTGAAATAGCATGCTATCCGCACAATTTGCTAATATTTTAAGAAACTGATAAGCTTTGGAAACGCGGCTTCATCCCATAGTGGTTTGATTCCATTGAAAACTGCATACAAAAAAAGAGGGGAATTGCTCTGAGCGATCGCAGGTAAGAAGAATTTTATTGACTTGCATTCAGCTGCTTGTGTTACAGTTTTTGGACGTAATTTGGTCCATGTCTACAAATTTTGCATTTTTCAAAAAACCGCTCGATAAATTTTTTTATAAATTCGACAATCTGGAGATCAATTGTCAGTAAATATTCCCAGCAAGTTTCAAGAACATTGAAAACAGGGAAGGCTTTTAAATAGAGCCTAAAATATAACCACTTTTTTCCACCGATTTTGTGTTTACAAGTGAGCGTCCTCATTATTCACTGGCATTGTTTTCAAGTTTCATATGCACGTGCCCAACTAGCAAAAGATATAAATTTGCATCAAAAAGAACTCTCGATTACTTTCCGAAGAAATATTCGGAATATGCTAATAATTGGCTTGTGTCACCGGCAGCAGTGAGAGCCGAAACGATGGACGTCACCGCTCATCGTGTAGGATGCAACACTTAATTATCTTACTCGGGTTATAACATCACAGAAACCCTTACAAAGAATTGCTCTGATGTTATAATGTATCACTAATCTCTTTACCCGGTAATTAGCATATTCCGGAGATATAACCGAGGGTCCTTTTTTATGCAAATTCTATCTTTTTGCTAAATGTGCACGTGTATATGAAACTTGAAAACAATGCCAGTGAATAATGAGGACGCTCACTTGTAAACACAAAATCTGGGGGAAAAATTGGTTATATTTTAGGCCCTATTTAAAAGCCTTCCCTGGTTTCAATGTTCTTGAAACTTGCAGGGAATATTTATTGATAATTGATCTCCAGATTGTCGAATTTACAAAAAAATTTATCGAGCGGGTTTTTGAAAAATGCGAAATTTGTAGACATGGACCAAATTACGTTCAAAAACTATAACGAAAGCAGCTGAATGCACGTCAATAGAATTCTTCTTACTCGCGATCGCTCAGAGCAATTCCCCTCTTTTTTTGTATGCAGTTTTCAATGGAATCAAACCACTATGGGATGAAGCCGCGTTTCCAAAGCTTATCAGTTTCTTAAAATATTAGCGAATTGTGCGGATAGCATGCTATTTCACTGTTTTTATGATTGTTAAAACTGCGTGTCAAAATATTTCGAAAACGCTCTCATAGAATTTGTTGAAACTTTGCCATAATGGAGGCAATTATGGCAGGTACATACTCCCTTAAGCGATTTCTTCAAAAAACTCCTGGTACAGAGAAACACAAAGATAAATAAAAAGCGTAATGGCGTCATTACGTTGCCATGGCGACTCCGATTGCAATAAAACCCAGATCATAAGAAATTTTCATCATTATATAATACAGTTGTGGTAACCTTTTTCCCATATCTTTACTCATGTCGACGTGGTTAAAGCTCAAACGTGGGAGGTATCCCCCCCAAAAAATCCAGTCGAGCCACCTTAAAGCATACTTTTAGTATACTTTTGTCTTGTAGTGATTTCAAGATCCGGACAAACCTTCTTAGATCCTCAGATCAGAATGTGTCTTTCAGTTTCAAAGTATACTTAAAGTACACTTTTCTTTGCGAAACTATTTTTCACAAGCACTGAAGTTTGAAGAAGTATACTTAAGTATTTGAAGTATAAATGAAGTACACTCTTTTTTTTTTTATAAGAATATTGTTTTCCCGGGCCAGGCTGAATATTCTTATTTTTCCGCCGATTTTAGGCTGCAAATATTCTTGTATTATTCTTAATAATAACTTATGACATTTCCGTTTTGGAATATATTAAGGTATCAATTATTCGAAATTATAGTTTTGTTAAATATAGTTAGCTAATTTTGCCGTTTAAAGAAAGGAATAAATTGAAAACGTATATTTGTATTGTGTTTACAGATTTTCACCACACCAAATCATATCCTTTTCAAAATCTCAGCCTGGAGTTTATTCTTAAAGTATTCTTAAGATTTCGCAAATTTCAGCCTCGATATTCTTATAAAATATATTCTTATAGAAAAAAAAGAGTGTACATTTGCCAAATATACTTCATTTATACTTTTTTTCTGGAAGTACAAACGAGGTGTACTTCAAATGTACTTTTTTTTCTGAGAAGTACATATAAAGTATACTTAATTTCTACAAGGGGGGTACTTTCATATATGGGCCATATAGGTATCTGCTGCTGTAACGAATACAGTTTTCAAGCAGTTTACATGTAGTCTGGAATAGTCAATGGTATAAACCCTGTAAGTTTTTTTTTCGGTAGCATTAAAACATGGAATCCGGAAACGGACAGGGAAATGGAATACGGAATCCGTGAAAGAAGGTTCCAAGTGATCGATTTGAAAAAATATATAGTAGCGATGACAATAAAACAAATAAACAGATAAAAAAGGGAGGGTAATGTGTGATATTTTCAAAGAAACTGTTTTATTTTTAAAGTGAAGATGCTTAAGGAAGTCAGGTTTTCAGAAAGTTTATTAATTCTTCTTGAAATTCGATTTGTTTGGAATAACGGAGGCCAGAAACATTCACTAAGTTTTCATGTCAAGTGCCCAGTATCCGGACAGTTTTATCTTTGCTGTACAGAATCGATGAATTAGCTGTGTACATTATCCGGATAAGATTTATTTCATATCAGTAACTATAATTAAAGCTTAGGATATATGATATAGTCGTAAAATGTAATTCTACTCAACTCCGTATGGACGTTTTCTTCACTCATTCAGAGGCGACTTGATTTCGTGTGCACGGCTTGTTTCGCGTGACTGCGTTTTCTATACATAACTGAAAGCGTCTGAGTTGAACCTGGAATTCTCATACTTTCCCCTGTTGTGACTGCTAGAATGCGGTTGCAACGGTCCGAAAAATGTCACAAAGGGATTGAGAGATGTGAAAGAAGGAGGAATTAGTGCTAGAAAAGCAGGCTTATTGTGGGGACTGAGCATGACGTCCATACGGAGTTGAGTAGAATTACATTTACTGCAGGTCAGACTAAATAGGAGAGTGACCTTTGAGCGTCGCGTTGATGTCCCGGGTTGATGTCTCTTTGCCAAGCTTTTTTTAAAATAAAAAATGAAGAAAGAAAGTCGTTTGCAGATTGGCTAATTGAGCTTGCAAACTGCGGCTTCGGCATGTCCACGGATGCCTTCCTTAAATCAGTGAAAAAGTTCCTAGACAAGGAAGTAAAAATTATACCATTTTTAAAACAGCCGCTCGCGTTCCCCACCATACCCCAGTCATTTGTTATGTTTTATTTCACGATGCTAGGTTATATTTTTAGAATCGATTGCCAGACTACTTTGCAAGTGCAAGACAAGCTTATAAGTCGCTTGCCTGTCGAAATTTATGTACAATTACGTTGTTATTGTTGTGTCCGGATACTGGGCCAGCTGTCCGGATACTGGGCAACATAAGAGCTCTGCAAAAATATTAATTTCGCGATGGAAACAAAGGCAAAAAAGTTAAACTGTCTTTCGTCATATTAAGGACTAGATAGATTTTCTCTGGGCCAAATTTCAAAGCTCTTACGATTAACAAAGGCAACATACTGTACCACTTTCGGCAATGAATGCAAATATTCTCATGGGACAGCAAAGTGAGGAGAAAAACGTCACTGACAAAAACTAGTTCCTTAAGAAAAAGGTAAGTTATGTGGAGACAGACTTCGTTTAAGGTGACTCGACCCAGTTTTTTTTTTTTTTTTTTTTGGAGGGTACCATCCTACTTTGAAGCTCTCTGGTATCCCCACCTTTACTTTTATCGTAAGTCTAACACATAGAATCGATAACATATAGATCAATCTACAATATAACATAAAATTTTTGGCGATCGGAGTAAATGTCACGTGGTTATAATGCCACGCCCCTTCGAGGTCTGAGTCGAAAATCTGCTGTTGCCGGCATTTTTTCGTGAAAATCTCTCGGCTACACATAGTGCGCATTAGTGCCTTGCGCTGAACAGAGTTTCACCAAAATCGCAAAGACCCAATTCGAGAAATTCAGCGGTTTCCAAATTTAGGTCATAATTTATGTGAAAATGATAAGCAAACTTTACACGGATCATATCTAATAAACTATGAGATTCATCTCTTTATTTTGGGCATAGTTATAACAGATGGGTCCTTGCAAGTCAGCAAAACGCTTTGGGGCCTTGTAAATGCGCGCGATTTGGAGCAAAGCAAACATATAGAAATTACAGTTTTCGCTATTTGTTGACGTTTGTCAGCGTTTAAGAGTCTTTCTCACGAAAAAAGCATTTTCTTAAAAATTCGCAGTTTTTTTCCTTCAAATTTTTTCAGGGCCACAATTGATTAACTAACTACCCGGACTCTGAATTTCATGGTCATTGAAAAACTGTGACATTATCTTCTATAAGCCCAAACTTGAGTAAACATTGAAGACTTTTAGCGTTTTGGCTGAGTTTGTGCTTTGGGAGTTGTCTATTGTTTCTAGTCTGTCATTATACAGCATTCTTGTTCAGCACGCGTGCAATGACCGCGCTTGGCTGTCTTCCGAATGCTCACCGAGATCTGATAATTTTGGTACAGTGAGACAGGCCATCGCGTGATCCGGCATAGAGGTTTAACTCACAATTTTTAATCAATTCTCGTGCTTCTTGTGCCTTTGCAAAAAAAATCAAGAAGTGCTACACACTAAATCTACTTACTATTAAAAAATATCATTTTTTCATAGGTTTAATGCAAGCCAATAATTAAACCAACTCGTGACGGGAATATCTCGGTGAGCGTTCGGACGTCAGCCAAGCGCGGTCATTGCACGCGTGCTGAACAAGAATGCTGTATAATGACAGGCTAGAAACAATAGACAACTCCCAAAGCACAAACTCAGCCAAAACGCTAAAAGTCTTCAATGTTTACTCAAGTTTGGGCTTATAGAAGATAATGTCACAGTTTTTCAATGACCATGAAATTCAGAGTCGGGGTAGTTAGTTAATCAATTGTGGCCCTGAAAAAATTTGAAGGAAAAAAAACTACGAATTTTTAAGAAAATGCTTTTTTCGTGAGAAGGACTCTTAAACGCTGGCAAACGTCAACAAATAGCGAAAACTGTAATTTCTATATGTTTGCTTTGCTCGAAATCGCGCGCATTTACAAGGCCCTAAAGCGTTTTGCTCACTTGCAAGGACCCATCTGTTATAACTATGCCCAAAATAAAGAGATGAATCTCATAGTTTATTAGATATAATCGGCGTGTAAAGTTTGTTTATCATTTTCGCATAAATTATGACCTAAATTTGGAAACCGCTGAATTTCTCGAATTGGGTCTTTGCGATTTTGGTGAAACTCTGTTCAGCGCAAGGCACTAATGCGCACTATGTGTAGCCGAGAGATTTTCACGAAAAAATGCCGACAACAGCAGATTTTCGACTCAGACCTCAAAGGGGCGTGGCATTATAACCACGTGACATTTACTCCGATCGCCAAAAGTTTTATGTTATATTGTAGATTGATCTATATGTTATCGATTCTATGTGTTAGACTTACGATAAAAGTAAAGGTGGGGATACCAGAGAGCTTCAAAGTAGGATGGTACCCCCAAAAAAAAAAAAAAAACTGGGTCGAGTCACCTTAAATTGACAGAGGCACTGTTTGTTCAACCGAAAGGCGTCGCCATCAAGTTTTTCCTGAGTGTCTTTTCTGGGTTGTCTTCAACAGTGTTCAGTTTTATTTATCGAGACATCTTACTCAGGAGAACCATGGCATTGTGGAGTGGGGGGGGTACTGCCATATATGGGCTTTACAGTATGGGCCGCTGTGAAGAATAATGGTTTTCAAGCAGTTTACTACTCTGGGATAGGGTATATAAATCAGGGGATTTAGGTCTAGAATAGGGTATCATTTTCCAGGAAACAGATCAATTGGTTGAAGATTTTAGTCTAGACTAGGAAAACCGGGAATTGCTACTCAAAAACATGAAAAAATCAAATCGGTTTTATTTTGGCTGGACTGTGTTTGTGATCTCAGTAGTTTCTGGAAAACAGCTACTCTGGGATAGGGGGGGTTTTGGGAGTTTTGTCTGGTATAGGGTAGCAAAATTCACTTGAATGAGCTCTGGTATAGGCTAAGGGTTCTAGGGTCCCAGCGGCACATCCCCACCCAAAAATTTCTAAAGTACCCCCTCGGGCGTGGAGTCCAAAGAGAAGAGAGAATTGTGCATGCATTTGCTTGATTCCACAACTGATTACATCAAAATAATGTGCCATGTTTAGTAATCCTCTTCAACAAAATACGGACGTCAACGTAAACTAAAGTATTCAGCTTGGCAAAAAAGTTGAACTTATTGCTAAAACACCGGAACTGCGGTCACGTCACAGGTCGGTCATGTGTTGAGTATTCAGTTTGGGGACAATCACTTCGTGTGGTCTGAGGCCAACTACTACTATTCTTGACATTTAGCTACAAAGGTAATATTTAAATGTATTATTCAGCCCATAAACTCGAGAAGAAGAATTACTCATAAAATTACTTTCATTGGCCTTGCAGTGCAATAAACCACACAACGGCAAACCTTATCAAGACACAGTAACAAAGAATATATTTAAGGGAACTGCTAAGAAAACTAAAACAAATTCTATTTGGATTGTACTAAATTATGCACTGTGAAATTCTTTAATTTTCTATCACTGATGTTTGATTCCGTATTCCGTTTCAATTTCTGTTTCCATTTCCGTTTCCGTGATTCTGTTTCCGTTTCCGGATTCCATGTTTCAGTGCTGCCGGAGTGCAGGCGAGATTCTGTGTTGAAGTGGAAGGTTGGTGGTGCTGGTTTAACTTGAAAATGAGGCAAGATTCTTGCATGAAAGTAAGGTAAAACAGAGAAAATGGCCACCAAATTTGATTTGCTTCACATGTCATGCACAGGTAGCCCAACACGAAAGTACGTGCAAATACTTTTAACTCTCATCACCTAGTGGCTGAGATAGTTTGAAATCAGATCTCGAACTAATTTGCCCCTTTAGGCGATCCATGTCCTACTAAAGAGTGCATAATATTTGCAAGAAAGTTCAAAGACCTTAAAATTACTTGAAACAGTTTTTAAACCTGGAGATTCAAAATGTACCCTGCATTTATATACACGGTAGGTTTTTGGTGACATTAAGACTTTGCGGTTTAGGTCAATTGACTTAGTTAAAAGAATATACTGACTATGGGTTTCACCATTTCGATGTACTTGATACTGAAAGATTAAGCCTGAGTACTGAAGATTGTATTGTGTAACAGTTGCTCGTTCTCTGCTTTTCATTTTGATTTCACAGGTGGCAAAGGTGTAGGAAAGTCCAGTTTAGTTCGAAGATTTGTTCTAGGAGAATTTGGTGAACATTGTCCTAGAGGACGTCAAAGTGAGACGCTTTTTTTTCTACTTTTTTGAACTATTAGATAATCATGAAGTGTTTTCGTGTTAACATAATTAACATAATTTTGCTACTTTACTCATTCAGTTTATTCCTTCTACCTTTAGTTTTTTGGGAAAAGGCTTCACTTCCATGTGTGGACGACGACAAGCACTATAACCATGGACTCATTGTATGGGATGGTGATCCTCAAACAGTCATTCCCCCTGGCATTGAACTTGGGGATGATGTGATTGGTGAGGCAGTTGTTGTCGTATATGATGTAACAAACCGAAATTCGTTTCTTGAGGCAGAGAAACTTGTGCGATTTTACACGCGGCTTGGCATTCCTGGGCATCTGTATATTGAAGGTCCGCGTGTTGTGGTTCTTGTAGGAAGTAAAGCTGATCTTTGGATGTACAGAAAGATAAAATATAAGGTATCAAGCTATCATGATTTTATTCATGTTTAACTTCCATGGAAATCATTACACCTCCCTGTTTATAGACCTCAAAGAGCGCATTTTTTTCTTCTTTAGTTTGTTTAGGATATAGCTTAGTGTTTTTTTTCTTGAAGTCCTTTTGAATGGGGCGTTGGTTGGGTGAAGATTTTTGCAGCTTTAACACTTTGTTGTGGATTTTAAGGCCCTGTTTTCAAAGGAGGAGGATAACCCTGGTGCTAGGGTTACTGTAAGGTTACCTTGGGAAGATATGAGTGCTTGCATGCAATTTCGATGGTTTGTTTTTAAGCTTGTTACGTCACTTATCACCTGAAAGCTTCGATTCTCTTCAGTCTGTCTTTTTGTTGACACTACCGGTCATCCAAATGTTTCTCTGTGGGTTAAGTGTAGGAACTGTGTCAACCTATCTGGACTGAAATGATTTGAAAACAAACCGTTCCACGCGGCCATGTTAGTACCCTGCGAGCAGAGTCTCCTTCGATCTTGACTTATCTAGGAAGATCGAAGGAGACTCTGCTAGCAGGGTACCATGTTACTAGCTTTGGCAGTTAAGAGCTGTGTCAGTCATACCATTAGTAAAAAAACAATGGCTTTGAATTCGTGGATTTGTTCGTCGCGAAACCAAGAGAAACTTACTCTCGGTTAGTTTCTGCGGTTGTTTGAGCGATAAAAAAATTACAGTGCTTTTGGTGAAAAATTTCGAAGGCATAAATATATTACAGATTTCAGTGAGATTAAATGGATCGAAAAATGAGCACACAGATATTAAGCATCAATACCCTCGCTCCTAAAAAGCGCAAAGGAGCAGTTAATAGCCTGTTCCAGGCGTTTAGATGCTGGTGAGCGAGTTGAATAGTACGTGGCGTTGTTTTTCCCTCTTCAAATTTTTGCCCCCGTCCCAACATTTGAACGCCTCAAGCAGTCTAAGCCTTTAAAGAGGGTCTCAATGGGGTGGTGGGTTTTACGGTTATCGGCTAAAATTTTGGCTCCTTTACGGCTATCGGTTAATTTTTTTCAGTTACGGTTAACGAAAAAGTTAAAAATTAACTTATTTGTTTCAAAAAGTTAAATATTAATTAACCTGTATTTTTTTGTATCTTTAAATCAAAATAAAGGTCCTCGGATCATCTCGGGATGAAATAAGCTATTCTTTTGAAAAATTTTAACATTTGATAGGTCATACTTTTTATAAAGTATTCCACTTCTAATATTATTTTACACATAGAAATGTCAATAGTCAATTTAAAAATAATCTTTGTCAAAAAGCAAAAGCAGACATGCAAACGCCCAACTCAAGGCCGGGGCGCGAAATTCATTATAACAGAAATGGCCGTTTTCACACAAGAGACGGATTATTCGTGTGAGACGGGTTATCCGTTTGATGATTCGCGTCAGATAGGTAATACGTCTTAATTTCAGAAATGGAATAGTTTTAATTTTGAATGAACAATCCGCCTGACTTTTGAAGACAGGATTATCCTTTCCAGATAACCTGTGTACAGCCGCCCCCTGCCCTCAGAAAAAATCGGAGAAGAGGTGTCTGTGGGGAGGACGCGACTGTACACAGGCTAGTCTCAGACGGATGATCCATTTCAAGCTCTAGCGTGAAAACGGCCAATAACGAAATTCCCGTGTCCAGTGTTTTTAACATAGCGAAGGACTGTACGGAGCGACTGTCTGCCGTTGCCTTGTTTGTCAGCCGCATTATTCCGCGCGGCTAATGCGTTTCGGGTCACGTGGTCCGAGCGAGTTCGCCACCGAAATGCCTTGACCGAGATTGCGTGGGAAGACGCCGTACAGGGACTAGGCATGGCAATGTCTACCGTAGCGTCAGAGAAAAAACAGGGAAATGTTGTTTATCGGCAACGTGTTTTACAAACAGTGACACCTCTGCGTGTTGTTTCACCAGTGTTTCGAGGGCACGACCTCCTAAAAAAACAAATATTAATCCCCAGCAAGAAGCCACACTTTCGCTATGGAAAAAATTAGTTCCCTGAGATCGCCGGAAATGGAGCCTAGGTCTTGGTTAACACCTAAAAGGCGCTGCGCCTAACATGCGTACGGAGTCACACTAGCCGGGAAATAAAAAATGCAACCATAAGTGAGTTTAGTACCTTCCTTAAAAGTAGCAAATTTAGGGAACACTTCTTTTACGGTTAACTCTTTTTTACCCTATTTACGACTAAAGGTTAAATTTTTTCAATTTTTACGGCTATCGACTAAATTTTTGGCCTTTTTACGCCTATCGGTTAACCCCATTGAGACCCTCTTGAGAATGCTACCAACAAACTCCTCTGAAGCAACGTCTGAGGAAAGTATTTCAAATTTCACGCAAAAGGCTCGTGATGGACAGACAACAACACACTTTTATCGAAGGACGAAATCGGCAATTTGAGGCTAATTCCTCGCCATATTTATTCAAAAAGGACCTATATTTTAATTTCAGTTAAGTTTAAAGGGAACCTCCACTTCAACAAAAAGATAACTTTAAATCACAGGAAATAACTGTTACAGTCAAGTCAATCTAAAATATTTTTAAAGAAAGCGTTTGTATCCGAAAGAAATAACTTTTAGATTCGCCTATTTTTGTTTTCAAATTTTGCGGGCGTCGCCATCTTGAATAATTGTGACGTGTAATGGTTGCCCTATTGTTATTAAACAAAAGCTCTTTGTGTCAGAACAATACAGCAACCGTAACACGTCATAATTATTCAAGATGGCGGCACCCGCGAAATTTGAAAGTGAAAATAAGCGATTTTAAAATTCACTTTTCCTGATATAAACACTTTTTTTAAGAAAAATTTCGAACAAATTTGTTTATCAACATAATTTTATTCGATTTAAACTTATTCTGTGGTAAGAGTGGAGGTTCCCTTTAATAAGTGATTGAGAGACTGGGCACTAAATGCTTGTGGCGTCAACCGGGTATCTTATAGCCAGAAAGCAAGAAGAAATATGCCGGGTAGATGCGTTGCTCCTGGGTGTTCAGCCTTCGCAGATGTGAAGAAAGGTTTAACAAATGTAACTCGCTAAATTTCTTTGTTTAGTGTTTGTTGCGTGTTATCGCCGAGATACCGGGTTGACGTTACAGGCTACTCGGGCCAGTCCCCCATAAGGCGCGTTTTTTACTTCGTGAACCGGGATTTTGATCGCCTGTTAAAAATCGAGATTGAGCTCAAATCCCATTCTATTGCTTGTTTTCGCATGTTATATGTTTCTACTTTTTAAAAAGAAAGATATTGGCCATGGGTGATAGGCACTTTAAGTGCAATCAAATGATGCATTTTTACAAGTTTACTCTTTCTTAAAGGATCAAAGTCTTGAAACTGGGTGATGTGAAATACATAATTAACAATTAATGAATGAGGCTGAGTATCTTATGAAGAATTATGGAGGTCGAGGAGGGTGTTATCCGTCGAAGCCGTTGGCTGAGGTGGATAACACCCTCCGAGATCTCCATAATTCTTCATATGACACGAAAGCCGAATTCAATAATTGTTTTATTATTCATTCAAAATAATTCCCAGTTTAAAAACATAGCTAAAACGTGCTTACCTCCATCGTTCTATCGGTGTTAAGTTCATCTTCGTTAGTGCACGTTTAGAGTTGTTCAGCTCCGCAAATATTCTGCAAATAGGAGATGTCGCCCTTCGAGTTGTCTTCTTGCTGTTCTTGCCATGTTTTTAGCTATGATTTCGCCTAGTTCTTACTCTTGAAACGAGTGAAATGTCCGCCATTTTTGTTTCCACAACCGAAACAACTCAACCTCGTCCCCAGGTCTTCTCGGTTATCGGTGCATTAACCTACTAATATCATAGTAACCTGAGATCAGGCCCAATTTGAGCGGTTCTCATACATTCTCTCAAACGGCTACCGCTGAAATTGCCCGCCGGAATGTAATTTTCAAAGCGAAACGAAAATAGAGCCTGATCTCAGGTTAATATCATAGGTGACGAATTACTCCTTAATTTTGGCGCGAAATTTCAGCGTTAATTTGTAATTTCACATGTAAAATTACAAAATTGCCATGGCAACCGTTCCGTACGTCTCAGTGTCAAGATGGCGACGAAGTTTTAAAATGCCGTGAATGAAGATGTCAGGGCACAAAAAAGACGCTTAAGAAAACCTGAACACACAAGAGAACATCAAGGAGGATTCTAACAGGTATTTTGCCGAAAAAGTCTGAAAAATTCTGAACTTTATAAGCCAAATTTAAGGTCTAAACATTTGAGAGAGTGGAGTTCTCGATCGATACAATCCAGGATAAACATGTCAAAAATCCAAGATTGCTAACGTAATTCGTCACCCATGATATTAATAGGTAATCAAATGGTATAATCGTGAAATTAGGTAATAATTTCACTTGCGTTTTGTCCAAATCCTAATAATTTCCCGAGCCTTCAGGCGAGGGAAATTATTAGGATTTGGACAAAACGCAAGTGAAATTATTCCCTAATTTCACTCGTCACCATTTGATTACACATACAAATAGGCTGCATTTTTGACGTCATTTCCTCGCTAAACACAAAATTCTTCCAAATTTGGTCATCAGCAACTGGTTATAGTGAATTATGCGTGTGCCTTTAGCCAATCAGAATCGGGGAAACATTTTGAATGAATAATAACAAATATTTATAGTTAACAAGCATTTTTACTTTTAACTGAGATTTACCGACAACCGACAAAGATCGAAAATTTTAACCGACTACCGACAAGGTAATTGAATTTTAACCGACAACCGACAAGTGAACCCCCCCCTCCCCTCCCGATTCAAACCGTCATATAGGGTATTTTCTGTATACTGTGATCGTATTTTCTCGTGAATTTAACTTGTTTTTCGTCACATCTTCAAGATTTCATTCAAATATTGGGCGTTACAAAGGATGTGCGTTTTAGTCACGCAGGACGAAACACGTCAGTCAAGTTTGTAAAGTTGACCCGAGAAGTTAACCCTACCTGGGAAATTTTGCTTCTTTATCCGGGCTATCTTTAACCCGCTTGCTGGTAACCCTAACACCAGGGTTACCCTCCTTCTTTGTAAAAAGGCCTTAAGTCTCATTTAGTGAGCGAAAGGTATTTATGTTTTCCTCCAGCCTGGAGGGTCAATAATGTTAGGATTTCGGAGTTGTGTGCCTTGTATTTATAGCGGAGCACCATGGGTAAGAAAATTTGGTAAACTATCCATCCCAGAAAATTTGGTTATGACGTAGCGTACGCCCGCCCGTCCGTACACACACTTCATGTAAGCCGATGTCAAATGTCACAATAGATCTTGCACAACTTGACTAGCCTCTTAGTTATGTAAGCCATCCGTATGAGTACGATTAGATTGACAGCTGTCAAAATCAGACATCCGCTGACAATTATCACATGACCGTCTCGCGGGCTCAGATAAAAGACCAGTCGGTTTGCCCCTACATATAAGCTGATATAATTTGTCACACTTACCAATTCAACACAAAAACAAAACTACGCCGGGCAAGGCTGTCAGTTGGCTGACAGTCGTTTAAAGTTACATTGGCAAGCCAAATTAAGGTCAATTGACAGCTGTCAAAATTGGACATGTGCAGACCACTATCAGAAAACTAATAACGAGGGCTCAGGTTCGCTCAGGTACACGATCTGGCATTTTCCACTACATGCCGGACGGAAATGTCCTACTCACACTCGTAGTCTGTTAATTCGAATATTCGCCATTCTAATGAAGGTTAATTGACAGCTGTCAAACTAGAGTATACGCTGACCATCATCACCTGAGTGGATCGAGGGGTCATTTTTCTATCTATTGAGGTCACGTAGTGTTTAAAGTTTTGCGCTGATATTTTATTTGATCACGGGCTCAATTCGAAGCCCCATAGCTATATAGAAAATCTATCCATCCTAGAAAATTCGGCAATCACGTGACCGTACACCGACCACCCGACCTTCCGTCCGTCCGCACCACAGGCATACCAATGTTTAATCTCACACTTTCTAGCTAGTTTGGGAGCCTGCAACCTGATATTGTACATCCATGTTTTGATTAATTGACAGCTGTCAAAACAGTGTTTCTGCTGACCAGTATCGCCTGACCGTATCGCGGGCTCAGGTATCGACCCTCTGAGTTCGAGTAATATTTTGAAGGTATCCGCTGACAAGTTGCTACTTTTCAAATGATCGCAGGCTCAAGTTCAATTTTTTTAAAATGCATATGAAATAAGTCATGTTTCATGAGCCGCACTTTTAAAATGTTGATTTCGAACTGATCTCGGACACGAAAATTCAACCGGCTTTTACATTTACATGCAGGGAAGGCAATCGCTTTTGACTTTTCTCACTGTCACGCGTTGATCACGCTCTACGTCCAATTTTTATGTTCTGATTGGTCAAAATTTAACAGGTGAGTTTATCCTACAATAGTATCAGGTTTAAAAAGCCTTTAGACATTTTTTGACCCGCAAATTCAAAGAAAAGGTTCTGAAGATTATTTAGTTATGATTTTGGCTGTAAACAGAAAGCTTTGAGCGATTTTCTTGCCTCGAGTTCATCTTGAAAAAGAGCGAACACCGGGAAGCCGGCTTAAAACGTAAATAAGCTTATGCTTGCCTGACTCATGATTTTCTGAGACGCTTTACTCTCAATACTTCTCTTCGTGAATGAAAATTATTGTCTCTGTACATGTTTCACCGAATTGAACTTATTTTATTGATTGTTAGTAGTCCCTCTCGCAATTTTCATCGCTGCACAGGTTGTTTCCAGTCGAACATAAACATCGCATGTAGGAATACTCAAAACGCCGCGCGTAAATATCACTCTCTTTTAAAGATTACACATAACAAAATTGTACACAGTTTAATGAATAAAAGGAAATAAAACCTAAACATAACAATTTCTCTATCATGTTGAAGCGTAAATGGTAACTCTATTAATCGCACTGCAAATTTGGTGCCTGTCAAAAGTGAGAACCCGTCCGGCTGGCCGAAAAGTGATTTGGGGAATTTTTTTTATCGTTTTCATTAAAAGCCCATAATTATTACCCTGCATATCACATAGGACCAGATTTTTCTAACAGAAAACGTTTTATAATTCAATGCTATAATTTGTTGTGCAAAGGAAGCGCGTGCTTTGATCGTCGTGGATATTGAATGAGTGCAAATTCTCTTGCAAAATTGTGAAAAACTGCAGAATTATAGGTTTAAATAGGGCAAAAAAGAACAAATTCTGTCCGAGGTCTGTGTACTGTTTACCTGAGACGTGATGAGAAAAAGTATGTTTAAAAGGCTGGTTTACACGCCGCCAGATTCGTCGCCAAGATTTACTGGTAAACTAAACTTGTCGAACACAAAAAGTCCGGCCTGATTTTTATTTTGGCCTCTCTTTTAGACAGAGGAATGCAACGTGTAAATTGGCTGCCACCAAGGACTATCGTGGCGCATGTGTTTCTTAAAATTATATTTCGGGGTTGTCCAATTATCCATAGTCTCTCTATACTAACGGAGCAATGTTGGAGAGACTGGTGAATGCCACATTATGATGCTACAGCTAAAGCAAATAGAATACACGAATAGGTCTATTTGTTTTCCAGGCCTAATCTACTGTGATCGAACATGATTGCTATTTTTCGGTGTACAAATAACTTGATGTAAAATTTGTTTCACTCTTGAACGGTCAAATTCTGATTTTTCTCTAAAATCACTTAACCTTTGCCTCAAAAGTCAAATGAATGTGCCCTGATCTGTGGATTACAAGTTTATTGTTTGAGTTAAATTATGAATTTATTAACGGGAGCTTTGCTTTTAGCCCTGGCTAAATCTATATATTTCTCTCTTTGCTAGAAGTTTGAGCGTGAACTACGTCGTCATTTCTCTGTCTATTTTTGTCGTTTCGCGATAATAAATCGTAAATGTCGTAGCTATGTTCAGTCCTTCAAATATCTGTTTGCAGAGTACACATTTTTCAGGCCCAACGTCAATTTTCGGAAAATATCTGTTCGGAAGACGATTTGAGATCTTGAATTTTCGAAACATTTGTTGTAAAATTTCTTGCTTGCCTGCCTCTCCTAGGATTTTCGAACATCTAAAAAATCGTATTATTGCCCATTTTCAACGGATTTTTACCCTAAAAAGGTCACCTAGAATTTTCGGGAGCCTTTTTCTTAGGTACGATTTTCGAAAAGGTAAGTTTTGATCCCTATAATTTTCGGATCACTAGACTTTCAGCTAGGATATCCGAACAGATGATGTTGGTTTTCACATGACGTCACTAAAAGTCAAACTACAAAACTATCGATCCTACTGAGATTTTACCTTCATGGTGTATTAGAGCAGCTGAAAACTAATTTTCGAACAAAATTTCGCTTCAAAAGTGTTCTTGGTTTTGTAATACACTCTTTTTTTTTATAAGAATATATTTTATAAGAATATCGAGGCTGAAATTGGCGAAATTTTAAGAATATTTTAAGAATAAAGCCGAGGCTGAGATTTTGAAAAGGATAGATATAATTTTGTGTGTTGAAACATCTGTAAATACTTAACTTAACCGTATAAAATTATTCCTTTCTCTCAACGGCGAAACTAGCCAACAAAACGAAAAAACCTGCACTAGCTATAGCGAAATGTTCAAAACTAATGACAGTTCGCGGTACATGTAATACGTATGTACAGTATTCAGCACAAAAGACATAAACTAAACTGCAAAAAAGTATTATGACAAATTCTTTCCTTTTTAAATAACAAAACCTAGCGAAAACTAAAACAGCACTAGGCTTTATTTAAGAATAATACAAGAATATTTTCAGCCTAAAATCGGCAGAAAAATAAGAATATTCAGCCTGGGCCGGAAAAACAACATTCTTATTAAAAAAAAGAGTGTAGAGTACGCTTGAATTTCTGAGCTTTTGCGTGACGCAGCATTTACATGACGGCCGAGAGAGCTGTCAGTTAGGTTAAAAAAGTGACTTTTTTCGAGGAATGTTGCTATCAAAACAGTTCAAGTGTTAGAAAAAGTATTACTGTAATGTTTATGAGTTCCTCTAGGAGTAAATTCACGCTTTTGTAGCAAAACTTGGTAACAGATGTTTCTGTTGGTTTCCGTCCGCCATGTTGGAGCTCATCCGGATGAGCTCCAGCATGGCGTCTCCATACAAAGCTCTATAAATTTGGGTAAAACATTTCCTCGGATATCTCGTATACGAATTATTCCTTCGACCCAAATCTTGGCGAGGGTCTTTGTATATTTACCTCCTTTCATTTCCCAGATTCTGAACTTTATCTGTCGAATGGTTTTGATTTTTATTTTGATCTACTGTATTTTGAATGGCATGACACTGAAAACCAGCAATATCTACCGTTTAAATACTAAAATACGTTTAGCAATGCTATGTTTAAGTGGTTTTGAACTATATTCTCGTTGGGTGCCCCTGATTTTTTGCAGACATACTAAAGTAGAACTGCATTACACTTTTCCCAAGGGCGACTATGCCGTGTATCTCCATGTACAGTGGCTACGGACTCATTCCACGGAAACGAGAGTGTCAGCCCTGACACGCTCGCTCCTCTCATCTCGCCGCCACCCAGCCGATTTTGTGTGAGGCATATACCAAATTTCGCGCGGCATTTTTTTGTTCCAAAAAATAATCAAAGTGCGACCTCTGTGCTTCTGTTTGGCAACAATACCTGTCTTCTTTTGTTGTTTTTCTGAAGGATGCTCAGACTTTCGCCCAGAAGCATGGTATCCCGTTCATGGAAGTGTCAGCATTTACAGGCATGAACGTGCATAATTTGTTCTCCAAAATGGGTACGTTTACCTTGAGTGTGCTAATGAATATGCGTTATTGACCAAACGTGATGTCAAGATGGCTGGATATTGGCCAAGTTCTTTTTGTCTCGGTCAATCGAAACACACAAAAAAAACTAACCTCGTCCCCAGCAAAAGCGCCCTGGAGAGGAGGTTGAAAAAATGCGTGGCCCGCAACATTCATCCATCTTGACGGAGCAAGCTTGGTAAATAAAGGATATATTATATGGCGAAAAGCGGGACCAACGCGGGAAATTCGGAGCGGGAGAGTCGGGTAGCCAATCAGAATGCAGGACTTGCTTCATCTTGCTCGCTCGCGGATTCAACAAATACGGGCAACATTTTCGCTCAACTTGTAACGCAACCGTTGTTGCATTGCAAGTTGAAAAGCGTTGTTACCCGTATTGCCACCTTCGCTCCCAACTTGCCACGCAACAAATTTCGATGTTGCAAGTTGCGGCAACATGTTGCGCAATTTGTAGACCCTAGTTCTGCTTTTGGCAACAAACTTTCAGTTTTATAACTTGCGTCACAACACTTGTGATTGGTCGATTTTCCGGCCCCACAAAAAGTGCGGGAACATGATGAGTAGGCTCCCTCTCCCCTCGCGTGTCTGTCTCGCACGCCCCGTTTTTTCCTGCGGCGATATTTCCAAGTGGAGTACCTCCTCGAGATTTCGCCTTTTGGGCAAAATCCCTGATCTTAATTGAAAATATTACTGATAGTTTTGCAAATACTTTTTGAAATACTGTGAATAAGAAATTTTGCAAGATTGAGAATTGTCTCGGTATGCATTTAAACAATGACCTAATATGACATGAAAGTGCCTTGTACTGTGTCAATAGATCTTTGAAATGTATACACCTCTTTAACTTGTATGTTTTGTTTTCCCAATAGAGGTCCCAAGGGAACTTTGCCCTTTGTCTTGTCATACATTACGCGTAGATATACACGTGAGTAATACAAAATTTGAAAGAAACAGTTCTTTAGAGTATCATCAATTGACCTGTAATCCTGTATTGGGAAAACAAAACATGCAAGCTTAAGAGGTCAATTACGCTCGCATGCACATGTGATTGTATCCTCACCCATACATTAATAACAACTTGTACCCACATACTGTACAAAACACTTTCCATAAAGTATTCCATATAGTACTTGCTATCTGTATATCCGCACCAATGGCTCTTCAATTTATTCGGTCACTTACCGAATTTGAAGTACTTAAATATAAACTGTCAATTTTAAAATGACTGAATAGGCTTTGTTCAATTAAGCCACCTGATCGTATATGCAGTGATCTCTCTAATACGCAAACTGTACTGAGAAATAATTGAAATTGCCTAGCCGAATTTTTTCTTGATATTTTTTTTTTTTGGGGGTGGTGGGGAGGGGGCTGCAACACTCCAGGTACTGGTTATATATTTTTTACACTGCTTTATTGTTTTATGTATTCAGGTATGATGGTACAAAGCCGTGTTTTGGTTTGGAACCGGAACGTACTTCTGAGTTCGCCATTACCATTAATGGAAATTTATGGCATTCCGTTGACAATATCGCCAATTGAAAATTTAGACTTAGACGTCTTAGACCGAACCCCCGCCTTGCGTTCGATATGCAAGTTGGATTTAAGCCACAGTCAACTATACGGACTGCCTGAAGCCATTGGTTCTCTACCTTCCCTGACCCACTTGTTCCTCAGTGACAATCACTTGTCATCACTACAGCCTGAAATTATAAGAACACTAGTAAACCTGCAAGAGCTGGACTTGAGAAATAACCAATTAAACTACTTTTCATTGGATATCACTGAGCTGAGTTGTCTTCAAAGGCTAAGTGTTCAAGGAAATCCTCTGAAACGTGATGAAAGAAGAAAACTGATGAAGCTCGCCCATAGTGAGAGATGGATAGATATTGCAGGTGAATGTAAAATCCTTTAGTAGAAATGTGGTGAAGTTGTGGATAGACTTTCTCAAAGTCCTTCGCTACTCGTTTCCGGTTTCGGTATTAGACCCCAGCCAGCTCGCTTTGCTACCTAAAACATTAAAAATTTCTAGCTCGCGCTTTGCGCTCGAGAAAAATTTTGAGCTCGACTTGTAGGCATAGCCTAGAAGTCAAGTGCAAAACTCAACAAAATGCCACTTTAACCGGCCAGGACCGACAAGGAGACGTTCAGTTAAAGGTATGTTAGCTTTGTTTTGTTAGATTTTGACTTCTAGGTTATTTTAGTTCGATAATAGGGTTTTTAGATATAGCGGCTCGTAAGAGTGTCAGATTCGATCAGAAATTGACAGAGGAAATTCTACGGGAAAATAAACCACACAAAGAGATAATGGTAAATATATGTCTGTCTGGATTTCATACAAGGTGCCTGTACTGAGTCTCTAGACAGCCAAGTCCAAAGAACAACTACTCACCCTCTCCACCCATGAAGCTTATGACTAGTCAATCACTTCCTCCAAGCTCTGCTAGTAGTGTTATGATTATGAGTCACCCCATTGATTTGGCTGGCCTAGGCCACAGGAAAAATTATCTGACTTTGCACTGCTTTCTGACATTAAAATCTAATCAAAGTGACAAATTCTCCCTTCCCTAACCTTCTGGTTTTCACACAAAACAGGGAAGCCACCCACCCACGGATAGGTCTAGGCCTGAGCTCTCTGCTGACACCTAGCAAGACGCCAAACCCTGTTTTTTTCCGGCTACACTGGCTTGAACACGGACGATGCGAAAACTTAACGAGCACCTTTTAGCAAAATCACACTTATTTATTTGAAACATTACACATTTTCTAACTCCTCCTCAGTCGAACATAACGACTCATCCCATTTTGTCTAAGTTATTGACATACACTACGTCTGGGCTGCCTGTGGTCCAGGTCGATAAAAATGCAAAACAGAACGGGGCCGATACTTTCAGCCATCTTCACCGAACAAGCTTGGTCAAGCTTGACCAGAAAAACTTAGTCGATATTAGATGGGCTCCTGCTGGGAGGGGTAAATGCAGTCATGCTCACTGTGTTAGAGGGTGACATTTCTTTGTCCTAAGAGCTTTTTGCCCGAAAAGAACTCACTCAAGACTACTTATCGATACTTATTCACCATAACTACAATGTTCAGCCTGTCGTGATAATTTTGCGTTTTTGTCTGGTTTATATGTCGAGTGAACTCTTGATAGGCGTTTGTCTGTACTATCGAAAATAATGGTCTCCGTGGTTAATGCCACTTTTTCATTTGTATTTGTTGTTTTACTTAGACTAGTAATGACCAAAGGTTACGGAGCGCGGGCGACAACGATCGAAGGTCAAAACGCTTTCGCTTAAACGCTGTGCTTTGCGTAAGTTTCACGTGATATAGATGGTCAAAACACGTTTGATTAAATTACAAGTGATAAAAGGTCTGAACGCGCCTGATCACAGATTGCCTTCGATGCATACCATTCATTCTTAGTGGAAGACCAAACGAAGCTGGCTACATGCCGGCGGAGTATGCGGAATAGCAACCTGGAGATTAGGATTGCAGGCTCCCCTCGTCGCCCGCAAAACTCCGATTCTAGAAGAAAACGGAAGTTGCACGGAAGTGAGGCTTAATCGCCCTCGCGGCAAATTTAAAATAACTAACATGTCGGACGATCAAGTCGGTCTTACTCCAGCGGACATAAGGTTCTAAAGTGGTGACGTCATAAAAATTAAATTTGTGAAATTATGGGATTTGTCAAGATATTCTGAAAGAACAACGTCCAAGAAGCCTATTTGCTGAAAATTAGCATTTCGGGGAAAATTTTCTCTGAGATATTAGCCCAGTTATGCTCTGAGGACTCCATACAATCCGTCTAAATTTGACTTGGGTCTAAATGTTTAGACCCCAGCCAAATTTAGAAGGATTTGTATGGAGTCATCACTCAGGCCACTTAAGGCGTGACTATCTAATTAAATATGCATATTTTGGTAAGATGCTATTTAGAACGGTTTGCTTCTATCAATGATCCTGAAAACTGAACTACAAATGTAGCTTAATGGCCTTAGCAATATGCGTGCATTTTCGTCACGTGACTGATAATTGAGAATTAACGGTCAAAATATTTACTCCAAAATGGGGAAAGGATAATGAAAGAGCAACAAGTTCTTTTAGGTACATTTCAGAGGCTGTTAAAAAGGTTCTTATAAATTCGCCTTGTATGTGTGTTTACGTCATATAGGAATCGGTAAATAAAGGGAAAAGGGTCACGTGACTAATTAATTAGTGAAATAGCTAATAGGTATGTGTAATCAAATGGTGACGAGTGAAATTAGGGAATAATTTCACGCGCGTTTTGTCCAAATCCTTATCCTAAAGGCTCGGGAAATTATAAGGATTTGGACTAAACGCGCGTGAAATTATTCCCTAATTTCACGAGTTTCACGAGTATACCATTTGATTACCTATTAATATCATGGGTGACGAATTACCTTAGCAATCGAGGATTTTTGACTTGTTTATCCTGGATCGTATCGATCGATCGTGAACTCCGCTCTCTCAAACGTTTAGAGCAGAAATTTAGCTTAAGTTTTCAGAATTTTTTGACAACATACCTCTAAGAATCCTTCTTAATGTGCTCTTTCGTGTGTTCAGGTTTTCTAAAGCGTCTTTTTATGCCCTGACATCTTAATTCATGACATTTTAAAACTTCGTCGCCATCTTGAAACGGAGACGTACGGCAGGTTGCCATGGCAATTTAGTAATTTCACATGTGAAATTACAAATTAACGCTGAAATTTCGCGCCAAAATTATGCAGTAATTCGTCATCATACAAGGCGAATAGGCAACTTTCGCTATATTAAAATTCAGCATGATAGCGAGTCTTAGAGGACACAAACAAAGAAAATGAATAAACCATGATTATTCGTGTTTATTCATTTTCTTTGTTTGTGTCCTCCAGGACTCGCTATCATGCTGAATTTTAATATATCGAATGTAGCTTGTTTACGATTTACATTGTTTATGTAACGTTTTGGTAGTGAAAATTCCTAAGATTAAGGTTTGCAACCCTTCCCCGTTTAGGAAAATGTGTTTTGTGACGTCATTGAGGAAGCGATGTCACGTGTTATTTGAAATCACGTTTCACGTGTTTTTTTCTTTGAGCCACATTTGTAGTTCACTTTTCAGGAGCACTGATGGAAGCAAACCGTTCTAAATAGCATTTACTAAAATATGCATATTTAATTAGGTAGTCATGCCTTAAGTGGCCTGAGCAGATTATAACTGGGCTATTATCTCAGAGACAATTTGCCCCACAATGCTAATTTTTGGCAAGTGGGCGTCTTCGACGTTGTTCTTTCAGAATATCTCGACAAATCCCGTAATTTCACAAATTTAATTTTTCGTGACGTCACACTTTAGTACTCTATTCCTGGTACTAGCTTTTTTGAAGAAGAGATAGAAAAATTGACCGTCGCTCAAATTAACTTTTGGTTAAAATACCGCCGCATAAATCAAAGTGGTAATAAGAAGGAACTGTTTGAAAGGTAGTTGTACATCATCTTCGAGCTTCGCGAGATCGATCAACTGTTTGTGCTGTTTATTTTCAACTAAAAGTTTACGTAGCGGTTAAGACACATGTTTTCATATAAAAGTTGTTTTCTCAGGGTCAAGAACCTGAAAGCAATGCAAATCTAAAAATATATGATCATGACCCAGAGAGGATCTTCACTATATAAAGTAAAGTTAGCGAGACAGATTGAAGAACTGAAGGAGAATGGGGAAACCCAGGGACCGCGGAGGGGGAGGGGCTGGCACTTTTATTGCTGGGATTTATTTTATAGGACTCCAGTTGACATGGAAAAAATTTCCGTGGAATTATTAGACTTTGCCCTATGGAAGTGGGATGTTTGCTTGTCCGAACGGTTACAACCCGATGTGCGTGCAAGGATAATAAGATGTAAGGCCCAAATGGAGTGATTTGACTTTTTCTCTGCTGTGCATCTTGGAGAGCACCTTTACTGCCTCACCGATAATCTATATAAGGATCTTCAGGGTACTAAGATGGCTGCTGTCAGTGGACAACGCCTGGCAAATTTAACAAAGGAGACGCTCACAAAAATTCGCATTGATCAAAGCTCCTGGACCATTTCTATGCTGATGTTGCCCGCAAGAGTGAAGGCCTGCTTGGCGAACCAACGCTTCCAAGAAAACGACACACTCCGGACAGACTGGAGGTTGGTGCTGGTGCACCAAGCTATCCCCAAACTGCTAAAGATCACTTTGGACGGGCCTTATTATGAGGCTATTGATCTTATCGTCAGGGCTATTATCAGCGCGTTAATCAGGAAAGCTTCAGCTCTTAAGCCCAGATGGAGACCCTCTTACTTAAAGCTTCTATAGCTAATGGTGACGAGTATGAGGCAGAGTTCAGTTTCTCGAAGCATAATACAGGGAAGATGCTGCGATACAGGGACGCTACCTGGGCAACTAAGTACTATGGAAGTTATGTTAAAGGAAGAGAAGATATCGTGTTTTGACGAAATCCTGTTGGCGGTGTTAAAGTTTCCAGAACCAGAAAAGAAGCTAATTCAGGAAGTCCAAACTATCTGTAAGCTGCTTGCTTTAAATCCTATTACCAGCGTTGCTGGCGAGGGTTCATTCTCATCTGTACTGCGTACGACGTCTGAAGACGTGGTTTCGATCCAGGATGGGTGATGAGAGGTTTAGCAACCTAGTAGTAACGTTGAATGGTCACAAGCCGAGAACAGACAGTGTCTCTATAGCTGAGGTTGCACAGGAGTTTGTTTCCAGCAATGAGGACCGCAAGAGAAATTTCGGAACTGCTGACAACTTCAAAGTAGCAATCTTAGGGACGGACCATTAGGAAACGTATGGGGGGGAGGGCGCGGGCGAAGTACAAAAAAAAAATTCGCGCAAGGGAAAATTAAATGAAAAAAAATTCATGCACGCCAATTAACCCTAAAAAATATTCATGCTATGGCCTAAAAAAAATTCATACAAGGAATTTGATAACGAAAAAAAATTCCTGCGGCTCGAAAATTCCCCTCCCCCCCCCATAACTTTTCTAATGGTCGGTCCCTTAGGAAGGTTTATTCAACATATTGGCTATATATACTGGATACTATAACGCGTGACAACGTTTATGGTATATTTGTTGAGGCTGTAAATAAGATGGCGTGCAAATGCTAGACTGCGAGCAGTCTCTCTTTTTCTTCAGATTTCAAGGCCGTAAGGGGAGTGCACGCGCGTGCGAGCGTTGAGCGGCGAACCGCAAGACGCGAGAAACGAGGGCGGCAGCCGGGTCATTTGCGTGTCTAGGGTGTTTTGCTCGACGGATCAAGAGAAAAGAGAGACTGCTCGTAGTCTACGCAAGTGCAAGGTAAATGGCGAAACACCGAACTTAATGTTTCTTTGTATTGGCAAGATTTTTTAGCCCTACCACTTTAAAATGGTCTCCGCGGTCCCTGAAACCGCGAGTGATGCAGCAAACCACTTCTGATCAAGAACTTTCCCACCGTTGATTCAGCATTTGGTGATGATTTTACCGTCCTTCCCACGTTCTTTCCGACTGATACATTAGAACACCTAAAGAACTGTAGAAAGAACACCTGCCAGAAAATCTGCTGATTCCGTTGCCGAGTTTGCAGGTTCTAAAGGGTTCAGAATGCTCTCATTTTTGTTCGCGACCTCAAGTGTGTGCGAGTCTAAATTCCGAGGATGATGTTATTTACCTAAAAGCTTTTTGCTGGGCCTCCCGTAGGATGAAGTACAAAGTCAAAATGGTAGTTCAGAGGAACGGCAAACCCAAAATTCGGGCTGCCGAGTGTGACAAAATATGCCCAGCCGGAAAAAGTGTTTGTTGCTGCCGTGTGATGGTGGTAATCTGGAAACTGGACGAAATATCCAGAAACAAAAAAGTTAAACCTACTGATAACCGTAGCTGTGGCTCTAAACCAAAGAAAATGGGAAATACCAGGGAACAGGACTGTACAACATAAGCCAATCATGACTTTTTAATCCCCGCCAGTTCTCAGACATCCAAGAAAGAAAGCGTCGAGGTGTCTATCCCACGCTGTTCGATCAGAGACCATCAAAATCGCGTACCTTAGAACTAGAATCAGTTGAAAGATTGAAAGAAAATAAACAAAAAGTAAATCCTGCTGTTCCATTTCCGAAAATGATCCTTGATGCGGATAGTATCAAGGTACTTGACACAATAGCTGGAGAAATTGCGTATGGTGGCTTATGGTTCTGAAACAAATCTGATTGTTTGTGGTAAGTTAAAACTATACCTACAAGGGCCATCTCTGAGCATAGGGTAAGCTAACTCAGATGTGATATATTTATTAGATTTCCTGTAGGAGGCCCAGCAAAGCGCTCTAAGGTAAATCAGTAACATCATCCTCGGAATTTACACACTTGGAGGTCGTGAACGAAAATGAGAGCATTCTGAACCCTTTAGAACTTGCAAACTAAACTCGACAACGGAATCAGCAGATTTCCTGGTGTTCTTTCTACAGTTCTTTAGGTGTTCTAGTGTGTCAGTCGGAAAGAACGTGGGAAGGACGGTAAAACCATCACTCGAAATCACAAAATGCTAAATCAACGGTGGGAAAGTTCTTGATCAGAAGTGGTTTGTTGCATCACTCGCGGTTTCCCCATTTTCCCTCAGTTCTTCAATCTGTCTCGCTAACTTTGCTTTATACGGTGAAGATCCTCTCTGGGTCATGGTCATATATTTTTAGATTTTCATTGCTTGCAGGTTCTTGACTCTGAGAAAACAAATTTGGTATGAAAACATGTGTCTTAACCGCTATGTAATCTTTTAGTTGGAAATAAACAGCATAAACAGTTGATCGATCTCGCGAAGCCGGATGATGATGTACAACTACCTTTCCAACAGTTCCTTCTTATTACCATTTTGATTCATACGGCGGCATTTTAACCAAAACTTTAGTTAAGCAACGGTAAATTTTTCTGTCTCTTCTTCACTAAAGCTAGCACCAGGAATGTCCTCTAGAGTAAGATCGACTTGATCGTCCGCCATGTTAGTTATTACAAATTTGCTCGTGTACAGACCTTAGTACCCAGAATTCAAAGCTGCGGAGAAATGGAATTGAAAACCTTCAATTCGCTTTTAGGGCATTTTTGTTTCTCCTCTAGTCAGCACCCGACTGAGCTGAAAAGGACAGCCATAACCCCCAACGAAGTGGAACGAAAGGATAAGGGAAAGATTTATTTTCCCCTCATGGTCAAACTGGGTTACCGTATTATACACTTTCCACTGCCAGAGAGAATGACGAAATCTCGTGAGGTTGTACCAACTTTTGTATCTGTGGAGAGACATTTTAATGTGTTTTGTTACACCTCTCAACTCAAAAATAAATCAAATTATAAATTTCTTCGAAAAACAATATTTGCGTGGCGCGGCTTACACATAGCTTTCCCGCATGCTGTTTCACTGTGCCCGATCTGGTCAGTTTTGTTCCCTGGTACGTGGCACGTTTTCGTGCAATCAAAAAATAAGTGCGCTTGAGTTGGGAGGTATAAAATGATAAATGAGATAATAGTAACATACGGTGGCCCATAAGGGACATCTCGATATTTTTCATTTCCACTTAATAATTTGCGATTTGACTTACTCTCGATCAAAGTTAATAAATAGCAATACAAACTTATATCTCTCGATCTCGACTTAAAACTTGCGATGGTAAGTTATAACTCTCGATCGCAACTTATAACCCGCGACCGCCACTTATAACTCGTAACTGCGACTTACAACTCGCGATCGCCACTTATAACTTCCGATCGCTACTTACGATTAGCGATCGCTACTTACAACTCGCGATCGCCACTTCTAACTCGCGATTGCCTGTTAAAACTTGCCATCGCCAGTTATAATTCGCGATCGCCAGTTGTAACTAGCGATCGCCACTTATAACTCGCGATCGCCACTTACAACTCGCGATCGCCACTTACAACTTGTTATCGCCACTTTTAACTCGCGATCGCCGGCTATAACTCGCGATCCCCAGTTATATCTCGCGATCGACACTTATAACTCGCGATCGACACTTATAACTCGCGATCGCCACTTATAACTCCCGATCGCTTCTTACGATTCGCTATCGCTACTTATAACTCGCGATCGCCACTTATAACTCGCGATCGCTACTTATAACTCGCGATTGCCTCTTACAACTCGCGATCGCCACTTATAACTCGCGATCGCTACTTATAACTCGCGATCGCCACTTATAATTCGTGATCGCCACTTCTAACTCGCGATTGCCTGTTAAAACTTGCCATCGCCAGTTATGACTCGCGATCGCCACTTATAACTCGCGATCGCGACTTACAACCCGCTATCGCCACTTTTAACTCGCGATCGCCAGTTAAAACTTGTCATCGCCAGTTATAACTCGCGATCCCCAGTTATATTTCGCGATCGCCACTTATAACTCGCGATCGCTACTTAAACCTCGCGATTGCCTCTTACAACTCGCGATCGCTACTTAAACCTCGCGATTGCCTCTCACAACTCGCGATCGTTTTCGATCACGCGTTATGCACCTATCAATGTAATGCCGGCGGGGGAGGGGGGGAGGCACGGCATGGGGTGGGGATTTGAGTTTTTTCAAAAATTTGCAATCAAAAATTTCCTGCCCACGGGCAAATCATTCCAGTCAAATGCAGCCAAATTTCCCCACCCCAGGCTGCACATTGCTGTCAATCCCAAGGCAGAACCCAAGAAAGGCACAATAAAAATATCTCCAAATAAAACTCTGCAATCTTTTATAAGCGTTGCTGCATCACCAAAGATACATGCTCCCATTCCAGCTGCAATTATACGTTTTAGAGTAGAATACATAAACCTTTAGGAGAAAGTCCACATTTTGTAAGTTTAAATATACCGTTCTTAGTAAAGGGTACAAAAAAAGTCAGTTTTATAAGTTTACACTGATTGTAGCCAATGAGCCATACACTAATCAATTGCACTTGGAAAAATCGACTTGATTTCTCTTTACTTCCGTTTACTTTGATACCACAGTATTTTAAGACGTTCAATTGATCAAAAACACCCTAAAACAAACGAAATTTGAAGACAAAACAGTGAAATCCACTCAGCCTTCGCTTGTTCTCATTGGCCTCCATGACTTCCTGATCTTTCCAGACCGTACGGCGCATGCGTGAAGCGTGGAAGTGGGAAACATGTTTTCGGTATAAGTCTTTTTCGTCCGAGTTGGCAGTCAAATATCTCCACGTCGGGATAAGGAGAACAAGATCAGTCAAATGCCCTACCCCTGGGCCAACAAAGACAATCAAATCCCCACCCCCATGCCCTGCCTCCCCCCCCACCCCCCGCCGGCTTTACATTGATAGGTTCATTAGAGGATGGCTTTGCACTCCAGCAAGTGAGCGTGCGCATATTCAGTACCGACATCGGGACAATGCGACATAGCGGTTGTTACACGGAATTACTTTGCTGTGACTTTTCTGATCACTCTTTTCACACTTAATACCTGTGGAGCTTTTCCAAATTATATTCCTAATTTACCTAGAGGCAATGGAGATGGAGACGCCTTGATAGAGGACTACTTTGGTCTTGGTTTCAGCTACTCTGAAGTGAGTAGTCTACTATGTTGGAAATTAAGCGTCGTTGGTGCGTTCCCTTTGGGTTCCGTGTGCGTTCCCTTCGCGAGGAAACGCTTGCTACGTAGGCTAGTGGGTGGTGGTGGCGGTGGGAAAACAATAGAAATGTGGCGGGGGTGGTATAAAGTTTCACTATTTACGAAGCAGTGTTGAAAAAAAAGTTGAGTGTAGGGCCGATGTGATGTGGGATCGATGTAGGGTCGATGTATAAAGGTCGATGTAGTGTCGATGTGGTCGTGGATAGAAAATATATATAATAAAATGAGGGGTTATAAGTAGCGATCGCGAGTTATAAGTGGCGATCGCGAGTTACAACTGGCGATCGCGAGTTATAAGTAGCTATCGCGACTTGTAAGTGGTGATCGGGAGTTGTAAGTTGCGATCACGAATTATAAGTGGCGATCGCGAGTTGTAAGTCGGGATAACGAATTATGAGTGGCGATCGCGGGTTATAAGTTGCGATCGAGAGTTACACGTGGCGATCGCGAGTTAGAAGGTGCGATCGAGAGTTATAACTTATCATCGCGAGTGTTAAGTCGAAATCGAGAGATATAAATTTGTATTGCTATTTATTAACTTGGATCGAGAGTAAGTCAAATCGCAAATTATTAAGTGGAAATGAAAAAATATCGAGATGTCCCTTATGGGCCACCGTACTACGTGCCTCCTCCCCCCGCCGGCATTACATTGATAGGTGCATAACGCGTGATCGAAAACGATCGCGAGTTGTGAGAGGCAATCGCGAGGTTTAAGTAGCGATCGCGATTTATAAGAGGCGATGGCGAGATATAACTGGGGATCGCGAGTTATAACTGGCGATGGCAAGTTTTAACTGGCGATCGCGAGTTAAAAGTGGCGATAGCGGGTTGTACATACATACATACATAGTTTATTTGGTAACGCAGGTTACAGAATACGCAAGACTGAAGTCCTGATGTGGACCTGCCTATCTACTTGTTAAAAAAAACTAAAGTATATACATGTGAATAAATACAAAATCAACAGAAGTTAAATAATAAATAATAATAACAATACAAATATAAATAAGATTAATAAAGAAATTCCTCATTCCTATTTCTTATCATGGAAGATTCCTTATTATAGCTTATAGAATTAATTAAGTCCTTGCTAGATCTAAGTCTTTTTTTAAAACATTCTAAGCTAGAAGACTTTTTGATCGAATCAGGAAGTGAGTTCCAAGCAATGGCAGCTCTATGCTTAAAAGTCAGCCTGCCAATTTCTGATTTAGGACTTGGAAATTCAATATTCATTGATTTCCTCAGGCAGTGAGATGATTGTTTTAACATTACTAGATCATTTAAAACATTGGTATTGCATCTATAGTAGGATTTATACGCTTCTATTAACAGTCTCTTAGTATAGTAAAATGATAAATTGTTCCAGCCTTTCAATTTATTTAATTGATCAGCATTCGAATTCCTTGAAAGTTTAAAAATAAGTTTAGAAGCTCGTATATGAGCACGCTCAAGATCATCCATTAGTGCAGGTGAGCAGGAACCCCATACTAGTATTCCGTATAAGACACTTGGAAGTACAGTCCTAAAATAAATGGTCTGTAGAATGGATGATGGCAAGAATGTTATTTTCTTATTGAAAGATTTTAACAGACTTTTAGTGTGTTCTTGCCAAGAAAGATTACTGTCTATAGTTACTCCTAGACATTTACATGATGATTTTAATTCAATAAATTTTTCACCATACTTCAAAGGCAACAATGGACCAATGAATCTTTGTTTAGATAATAGTAAGGCTTCTGACTTAGTTTCATGAGCAATCAATCTGTTAGCACCACACCAACTAAGAACTTGATCTAGTATAACTTGCATGGCCTTAATTATAGTATCAATATTATCACTTATGGTAAATATGGCAGTATCATCAGCAAACATATAAAGTTCTCCCGAGGTTACAGATTCAGGAAAGTCATTGACATAAAGGGAGAACAATTTGGGTCCTAAAATTGACCCTTGTGGTACTCCAATTTTGATAGAGCTAGTGCCTGATTTCACTTCATTAACTTGAACAAATTGGTTACGATTTAACAGGTAGCTTCCCATCCAAGATAGTAAATTTCCTGATATACCAACAGCTTTCAACTTTTGTGATAGGATGGTATGGTTCACCGAGTCAAAGGCCTTCCTGAAGTCAATAAACAGAACACCAACTTTAAGATTATTATCTAGGGCCCACTTCCAAGTGTCAGTAAGATGAAGAAGGAGACCCTCTGTAGAATGATTCTTGCGAAAGCCCCATTGATTGTCACTAAGCAGGTTCTGAGCTTCAATGTGATTGTCTATGCTGTTGCTTATAATGTCTTCAAGAATCTTTCCTGGGATACTTAAGAGAGATATGGGCCTGAAGTTGCTCATATCAGTGGGTGCTCTCTTTTTAAATACTGGCTTAACACGTGAGTTTCCAGTTTGTTGGAAAAGCTGCATCATCTATACTTTTCTTGAAAACTGGGAGGAGGCTATGGATAGAAGATTCCCCAAGGAGTTTAAGGTCCTTGGGTGAGACTAGGTCCGGTCCAGTAGCTTTATTCGGGTTTGATGATTTTTCAATTTTCTTCTTCACTAGCTCCCAATTTAACTCTATGTCGCATCTTGTAGGAGTGACTCTTGTTACATAAGACGTTAAGGTGTTTGGATCAAGAAGTTCTAAATTCTTTGTAAGTTCTTCACTGATATTAACAAAGAACTCATTAAAGTAAGAAGCTTTTTCTAGATCACTGGTTAATACATCTTTACTGTCAGTTATTATTGGACCAATAGTACTATCCTTACTTTTCCTTAGAACCTTGTTGGTTAGTTTCCAAAATTGCTTAGGATCTTGAGAATTCATAAATTCCTGTTTCCAATAAGCAGCTTCCGATTGTTTTAACAACTTTTTTACTTCATTTCTCTTGGATTTATATAATTCCTATTTGACTTGATCTTGAGATGACTTGGCTTCCTTAAGTAACTTATAGCGAAGATTTATTTGCTTCCTTATGTAAGTAGAAATCCAGGGTAAAGATTTGGATCTTATTTTAACATTCCTAGTTGGGAGGTGATGGTTGACTATATCCTTATATAAATAGTCCCACAGGTACAAGCTATCGTCGACGTCGTCAAAAATACCAGCCAATTGCCACGGCGTATGTTCTATATCATTTCTAAATTGTTTTATGTCAAGTGATTTGTAAGCTTTGGTTGTTATATACTTGGGTTTAGGATTAGCTTTAGTAGACAGCAAATACTAAGTGATGATCAGAAATACCAAGATCAATTGCACCAGAGGTTCTCACTTTGGCTGGTTGGCTGGTGGTGATGAGGTCAATGAGAGACTTTGAAGTAAGTGTGATTCTTGACGGGCAGGACATAATGTTTTTAAGGCCAAAAGAGGAGATTATCCTTTCCAGCCTATTTCCATATTGAGATTCAGTATTACTTGATCCTTTTAACATGTCAGAATTGAAGTCACCCAAAAGAATAATATTTTTCCTTCTTAGCCAGATGTTTTCTAGCACGTTCCTGAAATGATTGAAAAATAAGGAATCTTGAGGTGGTCTATAAATACATCCTATCAGGAAAGATTGTGATCTTATTGTTACATTCAGCCATGTCGCTTCTAGATGGGTGCAGTTCCAACGGGTTACCAAATAAGCAGTAAGGTTCGTTCTGAAATATATTAAGACACCTCCTCCAGGGCCAGAATCACGATCTCTTCTCACAAAACTGTATCCATTAATATGTATGTCGCCATCGCGTGTTATAAGTGGCGATCGCGAGTTACAACTGGCGATGGCAAGTTTTAACTGGCGATCGCGAGTTAAAAGTGGCGATAGCGGGTTGTAAGTCGCAATCGCGTGTTATAAGTGGCGATCGCGAGTTACAACTGGCGATCGCGAGTTATAACTGGCGATGGCAAGTTTTAACTGGCGATCGCGAGTTAAAAGTGGCGATAGCGGGTCGTAAGTCGCGATCGCGTGTTATAAGTGGCGATCGCGAGTTACAACTGGCGATCGCGAGTTACAACTGGCGATCGCGAGTTACAACTGGCGATCGCGAGTTATAACTGGCGATGGCAAGTTGTAACAGGCAATCGCGACTTAGAAGTGGCGATCACGAATTATAAGTAGCGATCGGGAGTTATAAGTGGCGATCGCGAGTTGTAAGTCGCAGTTACGAGTTATAAGTGGCGGTCGCGGGTTATAAGTTGCGATCGAGAGTTATAACTTACTATCGCGAGTTTTAAGTCGAAATCGAGAGATATAAGTTTGTATTACTATTTATTAACTTTGATCGAGAGTAAGTCAAATCGCAAATTATTGGGTGGAAATCAAAAATATCGAGATGTCCCTTATGGGCCACCGTAGTAACACAATGTTCAAATTCTGCTTTCTGCTCAGTTCAATTCTGCATTATAATGACCTCTAATCTCGTAAATCATGAGTTAGTAATGCCAGTTTTTCTTCTAACACCATGACATTTAACACTGTTACTCCCATTCATGGAAACTCGAAGAATCCAAGACATGTTATTGACAATAAACAATAGTATATCGGACAAAGCTCCACCCGCAATTAGAGATCTTATCACCTTACGCTCATGCAAGTATAGTCTTCGACATGATTATATCTTAAAGTTAACACAACTAAATACGGTCTCAAATCTTGGAGATATTTAGCCGCTAAGAAATGGAACGAGCTAGCAAATGACATCAGAATTAAAGCAGGCATCAATGATTTGAAGAACAAAATTCGATTGTTTAAGTTTGACTAAAATCGGGATTTATAGTAACTGCTGCCTGTTGCTTTGTTGGTTTGATCGATTCTTAGCTTTTGCAGTTTTCATATGATGAATTATTGTATATTTTTAGTTTTTAGTTTTTAAATTTTTAGAACATAGTTTTTTTATGAATTTTGAATTTTAAATTTTTAGAGTTTAATTTGGCCGTGGATTACCTGTAAACTAGCTGATAGCTAAGCGTAATATCTTGCCTAGTCCCTACGCCTTATTATTACACGCGGTCGATGCGGTTCGGGTCACGTGGTCCGAGAAAGTTTTTGAGGCCTAGACAAACTCGGAGAAGTGAGAGGGCGCGATCCATTCAACCAAAATTTCCGGAAATTTCGGTGCAAAACTCAATGGATCGGTACGGTCCAACCGGAAAAGTTTCGAAAAAACGGGTCCACCTTTTGAGGTGGACCACTTTTCCCGGTCGGACCGGTTGGAATTTTGGGGCGCTTTCCATTTAGGAAAAAAACCCGGAAATTTCGGTGGTAGCAAAAGTGGAATTTCCGATTGGTAAAAAGTTGTTCCATTTGGTCGTAAACCCCGGTACGTGGAGGTGCCCGACCGTGGACCTGGAACTGGTACAAAGTACGAGAATGGTAAATGGAACACGAGATTCCGTTCGGAAATTCCAACCGGGAAAACGGGACCACCTTTTTAGATTTTCCACTTTTTCTGGGAATTTTCCAGTGGGACGAACCGACGAAACGTGTTCCATTTACCGCCGAACCGGAAATTCCGGAAATTTTGAGTAAATGGAAAGCGCCCTTGGTTGAATGGATCGCGCCCTTTGTCTCACTTGGGGCGGAGCTTTTGGAAGAGGGCGAGCTGTCAGTAACTTTTCCACGCTGATGAAAGATGTCCAGTAGCCATGGAGAGTACAGAGAAACGAAACTTTTTATTCTATGCACGTTTTCATTGTTGAAAGTCCTTTGGCCTTTCTTTTTCATTTATCTCATTAAACTAATTTGAACTTTATTTCATCTCAAAAACTATTGTAGGCTAAGCAAAACAGCGAGAATCAGAAAGGTAAGCTAAAGAAATAAGTTTATATTTATTCTTGGATATGAAAAGCTATCTTTTGTTTCTCTATTTTCGCTTGCTCCTATAAATTTCTCGTTATCATTTCACTTCGAAATATTTTATGTGATTTAATTTTTGGATTTGGAAGCTTATCAAACTAATCGGACAGGCTGTTGAATTTGGTCTGTAAATTTGGTAGAATGTCAACAAAAAATCTGTTTCAATCTTTTTATCAATGAAGAAATATCATTTTAATAGTTCATTTGAAAATGAACTAAAAGAGAAATTATTTGCACGTTATACAGTAGTATTCTTTCCGATTCAAAGTAATATTTTTGTTCTTTGATAACAGAAACCAGGTTAGTGCCGATCCTTGAGCGAAGGTTATTTATAGATTATTTCAGTTGAACGTGGGAACTTTTCAAAAATGCGTACGCATGCGCACTCCGAGATTGTCTAGGCGTCTCCCGGCCGTTCGTCTCGGGTACGTCACCGAAATGCACTGACCGAGAAAGGCCTGGAAAGACGCCGTATAGGGACTAGGCAACGTAATATCCACGTTAAATAATTATCGTATCGTATCGTATCGTTACTTGTACGAAGACTGCACAATAATATTTGCATCGCATTTTATCATGTTGTAGCTGAACTCCCACTTCCCAAAGAAATTCTGTTCCAAGAACAACATACAATACTGATGTATCAAAAGGCTCTAAGAGATGGATATGTCAATGTCTACAGGGGTCGCATTTTTCTGATCGGTCAGGATCGTGCTGGAAAAACTAGCCTAAAAAAGTCACTGTTGGGTATGCCATTTGACCCGAAAGAAGAAAGCACTGAAGGAATTGACCCTTCAAAGTGTAATATTGATGTTAATCGAGTTCAAAACTGGCATTCCGACAGCAAAAATACGATTTTGTCTGAAGTTTCTGGGCAAATTTCATTGTCGTTCGCAATGGAACTCTTTCCTTTAAGACAAGTATCCAGGGAAAAAGAAATGATGGCCTCAGAAGTCTTCTACGTGGAAATTGTAAAGGTTAGTAATCTTCAAACATTTATTTATGCATTTAATGTATGTTTTCACTGTGATGTTGCGGAAGAGGGACTTTATATATGTCAATTGTTCAATAAAGTTTGTGTGTATAAGAGCTTGATTAAAACTATCTGTGAAAACAGAAGAAGAAAATATATTGTAGATATCGCTAAGTGCCAACGGGGGGGAAACAATTGGATGAATTGAATTGAATTCGCACTTCCAAGTTGGCGAAATCTTGCTAAGTTACAAACCAAATTTCCCGCTCTTATTGCCAGTGGTTCTTCTGTGAGCTCTTTGTTAACTTAACTTACCTTATCTTACACACGAGTCAAGACTTTTCCCGCCTGAACAGTTCCTCGCGCATCGCCTTTAAAATTTATATTTTTTGTGCCCAATATAAATTGTTAAAAACCGAAGTACTGAGGTATCGGGCACAATAATTGTAGATAGTTTTAAAATTTTCCTTTGGATCCCTGTGATGATCAGTTTGCTGTTATTTCTTCAATTCCTTCAAGTGCTTCCCGGCAAAATTGTATAAGTATGTCTCGTTTAAACAAACAAATTATTCGCAGGGTAACAGGACTGCAGATCGTCCCAAGGAAGCAACAGCACACAGTTCAACAAGACAGGTTAAAAGAGCGGGTTCCCTAGTGACTGGTGATGATGATGATGATCAAACTTCAGTTACAATTCCCGCTGAGGTTGCAAAATGTGGTACGGAGTATTTAACGCAGAAACTTCCACAAGGTCAACAAACTGTCCATGATAACAACAGAAAGGGTCCATTCGTAAACTTAGAGTTATGGGATTTTGCAGGACAACATCTTTACTATGCATCTCATCCTGTCTTTTTCTCGCCACGAGGAGTGTATGTTCTGGTTCACAACCTGAGCAAACGACTTGATGCCCTGGCTGAACCCTGTGTTAGACAAGGAACTCATGATATTTTTTTAGAAAACCCAAATGGTGAAACGAATATGGAGAATTTACTGTCGTGGCTTGTTACGGTTCATGGTAGCAGACCAATAGGCGGAGAATGTGTTGGCAACACCGAAAAAGAAGACCTGGCTTACCTTCGGCCTCCAGTTATCATTGTTGGTACACATGCGGACAAGCCAGTTGAGGACATTAACGTAATTACATCACAGATACAGCGGGGTATTTCTGGTAAGGAATATGAAAAGCATGTGATCAGGCCATTCTTCAACGTTGACAACACAAAGGGAAAGGGAAACGAATCTATGTTAAGACGAATGAGGAGGTATTTTGGCCAGCGCCTTGCAGGTATAGTCTTTGTATGTACAGATATAAAAGTAACAATACGTTAGTCAACTTCAGGCGCAAAAGGACATCCTTTAATTTTAAACAAAGCTTTTGCATTGGTTAATGTGAAAATTAAAGAGATGGCTATGGCCGCAAGCAAATAACGACATCCCAACTCACTGCGATAAAACAGAGAAATCAGTAGAAATGTCGTCCGATAAGGTTCTGATTATAAAGCTATATAGATAAAATATTCTTCCAAGCTAGAAAAATCAATGTTTCCCTGTTCGCTGGAAAACTAAATTAACCTTTTTCCACTGAAAGTAAATGATCATGTTTCCTTGGTCACCCTAGTTACACTCTGTAATAAATTAAGGAACTGTTAAATTCTACCAACCATTTCTAACAACATATTTCGCCATGCTGCTCTGACCTGTTCAAGCGTCTGCGCCGAATGATGACGTCACGAAAATCTTGATATATTAGTTTGAATCGCAATGCATTGAGGGAAGACGTTCACTCCACTTCTCATGCTACCCTGGGTGTCAGAGACTTTTCTAGCGCGGTTTCCGGTTTCTGTCAAGTCTTTATAGTGACCCGCGCGAAAAGCCTCTGAGGTTTTTCTCGCGGCTTCGGCCTTCGGCCAACAACGAAAATTCCCGCTGCACGCGAGAAAAACCTCTGGTACCCAGTGTATTTAAATTCCCTCTTGATCAGTAATAAAAAGACCCTGCCGATCTAGGCGACCCATCTCCACTGCTCTTAAATACCATAAAATTCGATATCGCCTTGACATTTATCAAATTAGCAAATACTTTGCACAAACACGCCAGCAGATCACAAAACTCAAACTAAACTAACAGACACAAACAGTATATCAAAATTTTCCCCGATGGTGTTAACTTATACAATCCTATATAAACAGTGTTATTTGAACAATTAGCAGTTAGTATTTTTTCTCATTCAATGACAACGAAAAATGGTGGCAATATATAATTTCATAGCAGCTTGTAACTGATCGTTTTGTAATGTAATGTGCACCAATACACGCAGTTACTGGGTTTAATGAATTTTTTTTAAGGGCAAGAAGATGACAGTGTCAGTACCAAAAGTGATGGCATCGATGCCTTGCGTGCTAAAATCATGGAAGTGTTGAGACAAGAGCCTTACATGGGGGAAAAGATACCAACCAGGTGATGTCTATTATCTGTATTATTTCTGCCACAAAGTTTTAGAGCTCCTGGGTGCCGTTCGTGAGCGTCGTACGTGTAGTCAAGGTCGGAAAAATGCCTATCCTCATTTCACACAATGCTCTTTGCTCCAGTCGCTTTCTCCAGCACCCAATCGAAAACAGGAGTGACGAAAGCAAACAGACCTGAGGGACTCTTGTGAGAACCTCAAACCAATGTTAGTCCTGAAACAACATATTCACTTCTTGTAACAGGACTCTGTTTAAATTAGCTTCATGTGGCCCGCAGTGCAGGCGTTTTCTTCGGGCGCGCTCGCGAAAGCGCCTGTTGAAACTCGAAAAGAGAAAATGGGGCGAGTCAAAAGGAGCGGGGTCCCTAATATTCTTCCGTCATAACAAAGATGGCGGTTACAACAGTACGAACATAAACAAGCAGCTTTCGCCCGCCCAAAATACGCCTGCACTGCAGGCTAAGCTTCATGCTAAACCAGATGTTCCTATATAAATAAATAAATTAGTAAATAAATAAATAAATAATTGTTCCTATGAAATTAGGTGGAATTCCATACTGGACCAAGACTTTTCACAAAGACCTGTGGACGCTGTCGAATGCCTTTTTTACAATAACTCAGCGAATCCTCGCGCTCTGACATGTCGAGAACTATGGTCTATCAGAGTATAAACCATGGAAATGAATTAACATGTCACGCAGAGCCGGTTGTCTTGTTTTTGGTTCTTCGTAAAAATAATTTTTCTCCTCAACATGGACAAAGAAGAACCAATTTTTAACATATGGGGATAAATTTCTGGTATTTGTTTGTACGACTGCTTCATTTATCGCTCAAATTTCGTCTTCCAAAAATGTCTCGAAACGAGTCGCCATCTTGGCTCCGGTCGCACCTCAAAAAATGAACACCGGAACGGGTAAGGGAATACCGTTCATGAGCGGTACAGTGGATTCTTAAAATCCGAATTTAGATTTGTTCTAATAAATCTACTCAGCCTCCGGTAGAAAAGCACTCATAGGTTGAAAAGTGAAATTATAAAGAAGGGCTTGAAGGTTAGCGTACGGAAACAAAAGAAATTAGGTTTTTCAGCGTTTTGCAATAGAACCTATTTTCTGCAAAAGTGTAAGAACTACGACTGTTTTTAAGATTTCTTCTGTGTACGATATTTTTCTTTGTTAAACTTTGTAGGTGGGCACGTTTTGAGAGGGTACTTGAGGAGTTGGTGGCTCAGAGAATTCATTACAGGACTGTGGAACAACTTCAAACTTCTGCCAGGAAAGATTGCTTCATTCACGATGATGACGAGTTTCAAACAATGTTAAATTTCTATCATGATCTCGGCCTGATTATAAAACACAGGAGCACAGTTGTTCTGGAGACTAAATGGCTGATTGACCTGTTTAAAGAGCTGATTACCATTCCTCGTTTTGATAAAGCGGTGAGAAAAAAAGCAAGAGAAATAAGAGTTCCATAATTTTACGATTTTTTCAGTTGTTGCGTTGGCTATACAACTTTTACGACTTACCTAAGCAAACCGCTGGATTCTGCTGCCCTAAATTGTAATTGTAATCTTAATTGATAACGTTCACTGTCTTCATGTTTATTTGTGACATCCTTATGGCATGTTAGAGGTATATGTCTTCGTTTAAGCAAAGTTTGGTAAGTTCAGAGTTACCCTTTTTCCACGCGAACAAGAATTGAAAGTTACATTGATTTTTCACAAAATATTTTTAGTAGCTCGCATCACGTACGTTATCCACTTTATTGGAAGAATGCGGTTTTTATAATAACCTGAAAATGCGAATCGTGTCGCGTAAATTAAACCTACGAAACTTATGAGCAAGCAGTTGGTGTGATTTAGACACTGAGATTCACATAAGATGTTTAGTTATACTGCAACAGTGAAGCTTAAGATATACATCTTGGTTGCTGCTAAGCCTGGAGATCCTAATACTACATATTTTATTACTTTTAGAACCCTCTTTTTTCACCCTACTGGCAGGAAGTTGAAAAGAGTGGTGTTCTCTGCATGGAACTTGTCAATCACGTGTTTTCCAAATTTGTGGAGCAAAGCGTTGTCAAGGAAGACATTTTGGATATGATGGACCAGTTTGGTTTGATTGCGAAATTTACATCAAGCACCTCTGGTACCATGTACTTTGTACCCGCGCAGCTCAAGACCCCACCCACAGATATTTGCAAACTACACCCTACCCCAGCTGATCCATGTCCACTATATCTTCATTTCCGAGGTGGGTTTGTTCCGAAAGGTCTCTTCATACGCCTTGTTTCCAGTTCTATTTCCTGGTGCTGTAAGACTTGGCAGGAGACACCACCGCCTACTCTGTACCAAAATGGTGCTCATTTCGTCATTGCGGGCAAGCAGATCATCTATGATTTTATTCTTCTTTGCAAGAAACGTTTTATCAAGATTGTGCTGAAGCAAAGAAATGAAGATGAAGAGGCAGTTTCAGTGTCTGAATCAGTTGAAATACCAAGTCGCGTTCGTGTCTTCATAGACGACACTTTGCAAAAATTGTCTCACGAGTTGCCATGTCTTAGCGGGTTGCAGTACGAGTTATCCGTTGCGTGCCCCCACTGTCTGGCTGAATGTTCAAACCACCGGGAAGCTGCATGTACCCAAGAGGAGTGTTTACACTTTTTTGAATTAAAGGAAGGGCAGCGACTGATATGCACGAAGAAGGTTCGTGATAGTGTGAGGAGGGTTCTTGGCATGGAAAAGTGGCTGTCTTTAAGAAGAATCGAGGTAAAATATTTAATAAAATATAGTATGAAATGACGTAAAGTAATCTTTTGCGATGTTGATGTTAACAATACTAACCTGCGTAGCTGGCCACTAAGGTGCGCGAGAAGCGTGCTCGAACGAGTGCTCCCCTCCATTGCCCCTCTCCAATCAAAACCGCCAGCTAGTGGTCAGAGCGGGACTTGGAATCTGAGCCTCCGGATGACAAGTCATGTGCGTTGACCGCTCAACTAATCTTCCTCCGTTTTTGTGGATAATGAGTTCAACATTATATACCGGAGAGGTGAATTAGTTGTATTACGTGTTACTGTGGTCGGGGAAGGGGGAATAAGCGAAGTTGGTCTCGTATGGGTAAAAAAATCGTTGACGGAAAATGCCCATCCTGCCCATATCTGGCACTTTTTTAGAACAAGTTTCCTTTACACTGAAGTGAAAGTAATTTTGCTTTCATATCTGAATAGCCAGAAATGCTAAAGATAATTTAACTTTTTCCCTGTTTTATCAAAGTTACCGCATCCATTTTTATCAGTTTGTAAAATTTTTCAGTTTGTAATTTATATTTGTATTATTTTTGATTTGGCGTTGAAAAGGGCTGAAAACTTAAAAGGTATCCAAGATTTCAACGCCCTCCCAATGTGCTGTAGCTGAAACCGAGTACATACGTACTGTCTCGAGGAGACAGTACCCCATAGATTTTCTCAAATTCCATAATAAATTAGTCTCAGTCTATCGTACGTTTAACGTTGTTTTACCATTTTTTGTAAACCATGTAAGTCTCGGCAGGGAAGACTAAAAAGAAAATGCTAAAACACTTCAGCAACCAGGCAAGCGTGTTATCGCCCGTTTAACTCAATCGGTGGTGAAATCAGTATTCACTTTGTCAAACGTATTGCTCTTTTGTTAGGTGCAGTACACTCCCCGTTTTCTTTGCACGTGGCAAGATAGAGCAGGTGAAAGTGACCCAGGGAAATCTGTTAAAGCACTGAATGTTACTTGTTGGCGAGTGAGTGGGGCTCATCCATGGGTGGCTTGTCAACAATTAACAGAAATCTCGCCATTCTACTTGCGAAGCACAGCTTGGTCAACACTACTCTTTTGGTACCACAATCGTCTTGCAGTGAGGAGGACAGGAGAGACGCTGCAGAACAGAACATTGTCATTCGTGAAGCAGAGAGTCTACCAGGATTTGATCCTCTTGTCTGGTTGAGCTTCCCACCGAAAAACCTTGCTATCGACATCGTCCTGGGCCATGGGGCAAAGTTGGGAAAACAAGCGCAAGTAATTCGGAAGTCCCACGGCTGTAAGTGGGTGCAGGTGGTCCATACTGCACCTGAAGAACTGGGAATGTTCAAGAACTATGACAGCGCGGTTGCCAAAGGTGAAGAGAAGAACAGAGCTGAGGTAGACTTGTGCAGACTGGCAGATCTTGTCGTGGCAGTCGGACCCAAGTTGAGAGAAGCCTATTCATCCTACCTGCGGGTTTGCAAGAAACACCAATACATCTTCCAGCTTACCCCAGGTACTTTCCATGAATTTTCAATGCTGGAACAAGCTACACGGGAGGAAGGGAGGTTTAAGGTTTTAACCTTTGGCCGCGGTGATTCTGAAGACTTTAGTCTCAAAGGATATGACATTGCCGCCAAAGCAGTTGTTGAATTGAAAGATAGCTCTTACTGCCTGGTGTTTGTGGGCGCTCCCATTGGGAAACAAGACGAAGTCGCCCAAAACCTGCTTCAGACTGGAATTGCTAAAGACCAGCTTATTGTCAGAGCGTTTGTGCAGAGCAAGGAAAGGTTAAAAGAATTGTTTTGTGAGGTTGACCTTGCCATTATGCCATCCAGAACAGAAGGTTTTGGATTAACAGCTCTGGAGGCGTTGTCTGCTGGTCTCCCCATTCTAGTGAGTGGCAATTCAGGATTCGCACATGCATTACGCGATTTACCCTCAGGAAAATCGTTTGTGGTGAATTCCAACGACCCCATGGAATGGGCGAAAGCAATTGCTGCTGTTCGCCAAAAAGGAAGAGGGCAACGTCTTCAAGAAATCCAAACCTTGCGTGCTCGCTACGAAGAGAGGTACAACTGGGAGGAGCAGTGTGGAGCCCTTGTTGAGAAGATGTGGAATATGGTCCAGGGTAAGTGCTTTGTTAAAGTACTATTATAATAATGTAACCCCCTCCGTTTAACATTTGGTGACGTGGCGCAGTAGACGAGGAGATGTCCTTGCATGTAGAAGGTCCTGGGTTGGACTCCCGAATGAGGAAATGTTTTTCCCTTTTTTTGGCTGTTTTGTTTTTGTTTCTGTTTTTAACCTTACTTTTTCTTACCTGTTGGCTGGTTTTAATTTATTCACACTGCTGCCCTTTTTTTACATCTTCGCGAGGTGTTGCGATAAACGAATTTCTAGTTCCTATTCTTAAAGCTTATAATTAAATATTTCCTCTTTAGTAAGTTGAGATCATATATAAGCTTTAATTTTGAAATATGACGACAAAATAAAAAACTAAAGGAACGAAAACAATTATCATGGCTTAGCTCCTTCTCCTTTGTTGAGGAGTAAAGGCCAAAGGCATATGTCACAATTTCCACTGTTCCAGCTTCCTTTATTTCCAAAGTAAAAATACGTACGTGGAATGTTAGAATGTAAAACTTCAGTAAAAATAATTGAACGCAAATTGGTTCCCCGCAGGAGTTTCATTTGCCAGTTGGTTGATTTCGGTTGAAAATATCGTCGATGAATGGTAAATTTGAGGGTAAAAAATTGTGACCATGTCGTTTAAAAATAAAGAAAGTACGATACAAGTAACGATTTGTTGTCCTCCGACCTCATTCACCAGGCGAAGAAAAGATGCCTGCAGGTCAGTAGTGCCGACACTTTCTGTAACTAAGTCTGTTCACACTATCATACGGATCACAGCTTTTGCGCGGGCACGAAAATCGTACCGGATAGGGCTTCTGTTGACACATAAAAACGGTGATTTTGGCGCGATTTCTGTATCGGGGCGAAGCTGCGCCGCGCCGGTGATGAGAGTGTATCGTCCATATTGGATAGGTTTCTGTCGGCATAGTGTAGACAAAGCCTATATGAAACATTTAAGTTATTAACAAGAGAGTCCTCTCTTGGTCATCAAGGTATATCTAACTCTAACTTTCTGAGACATTTCAAGAGTTGACCTTCACGTGCACTCTTGCTTAAGATCCCAAGTTTTAGATTAAGTTAAATCGTCTTTACTCATATAGGTTTACATGAGATGTCTTGATAAGCACAGTGTCTGAGGTCCAACGAACTGTGCTTTCGTTTGTGTCCTTCGCTGTTTGCTTGTCTTCTTTAACCTGCAGCATGTTTGTTATTTCTTTGTTTCCCTTAGAGAACTAGAAAGAAAGTCAATCTCCTGTGGAGCAAAATCTCCTCTGACTTAACACCAAAACTGAATCTGTGCCCGAGCTGAGTTCATCTTCAAGATGCGGAACCAGGGCAGAACCATGCAATTCTTTGACTACATTAACAAGTATACTCATTCGCCTCAAGAGAAGAAAACTGCCAACTTAAAAAACGTTTATCAGTAAGGACTTTTAAGTAGTTTAAATGAGTTGATTAATCTCATGATTAGAGAAAAGACCTACATTATTGGAAAGTACAGGTAGTTTTATAATTTGTAGTTACTTTGAGAAGGGTCCTTCCATTAGTTAATTAGTGAGAGTAATTCAGAAACTGAGTAACTATTCTAGGTTTTTGCAAAATGACCCGAATACGAATACATGCCCCTTGCTATGGTTATCTGGTCTGCGAATAGAGTCGATTCGCGCCCTCTGTTCAGAGTTTTGAACTTATACATGTAATTAGCACTGATAATTCGAAGGAAAGGGTTGGTGGATTTAAAACAAAGTAATATCAATTTTACGTAAAGCGTTTATTCTACTACTTAGACAGTATATTCAATATTTTTGTAAGACATTTTCGTAGACCCGATTTTTTTTAAGACTTTCTATTGAAAGGGAAAAGCGGAGAAATCAAATTCTCCCTAAATAACAGCAGTTTAACGTTCATAGATCAACAACACCAATATAATTTCAGTTTGTAGAGAGGACAAATTTTAGACATTTCGGATTAAATAGTAGTAGAGAAATCGTCTATAACTTTGGTATGTAAAAAGGATTCCATGTCACTGTATTTTTATGTTTTTAAAATCAAGGTAAAGGTTTGGGTTGATTTCAAACACAGTAAAGCCAATTTTATGAAAAGCATTTATCGTACTTCATAAGACAGTATTTTCAGTATTTTTGTATGACATGTTTGTGGAACCCACCAATGTAGATTTACAATTAATGAGCGACAAGTGAGAAAACCAAATGCTCTCTTAATGAAATTAGTTAAACGTTAATTGAAATTTTTTAGGGAAGACGTTTCAGATAGAATAGTAAAAGAAATCATATGTTATAACCATAGTATGTAAATAGAATTCTATGTCATATTATGACTCTAAAAAGGTGTAATGTGATGTTAAACAAAGTAGGAAAAAAATTAAACACACCAAAGAAGCCGAAATGCTAAGAGGAAAGCACTTTCAGTAACACATTGCTTACAAATAAACTATGTGTTATTTTGACTGTATTGTTGTCATTCCATTGTTGCTTTACTGATGGATCGATTTGGGTCCCGGAGTAGTGTAGGAGTTGCTCGGTAAGTCTCTCCTAATTGGTCGCAGGAAACAATGACATACAATACAAGCTCGCTGTTCCACAACCCCGTACTGAATTTTATAAAAGAAGTCTTTCTTACAGCGGAAGTGTGTTATGGAACGGCTTGCCTCTGGAGGTGCGGCAATTGACATCCCCTAGTATATTTAAGGGAAAATTAAGAGACGTAAATTTCGATTGACAAATAATTTAATTAGCGATTTTCTGTTTTTACACACGGCCTCCTTGAAAAGCAGGTGTTTTCTTTTCGTCGTATCTTAGATTTTAGATTAGTTAGGAAGTTAGTTTTTCTATACTTCAATCTAAATGTATACCTGAAGGAAAACACCGTGTTTAAATAAAGTTACCTTACCTTACCTTACCTTACTCGAAATTGAAGGATTGTATGCAATACTGAAAAGATCATACTAGAGTGGTTCGTTCACACGGAACCACGCTTACCGTACGAAAGTTAAGTCACTTAGCCGTACAAAGCTCTGTGTGAATTGAGCAAAAATATTGAACGAAACGGCCTCGTGTGAAGGACACCTCCATGTAAACAGGCTCTTAGTCCGGAACCATGTGAACGTACAGCCGTTGCCTCAGAGACGCTGGGCCGGTCATTTTGAACGGAGTTTAGCTAGACTACGAGTAGTCCCCATTTTTCCTCAGGGACAGTAGCGCGAGCGAAACGCGAGCGCGCGTGAAAATCACCCCACGCGAGAAAGGCGAGACGCGGCGGTGTCTAGAGGTTGGCCAGTCTTTAACGAAACCGCGTTCTAAGCCATGAGTCGGCTCAACGCTTTCTTGTAAACCTTGTTTTAGCATGAACAGTGTAATGAAAGCATATCCAGTGGAACCCCGGTCACCTCGTTATTACGGCCACTTTTTTTCGGCCCGGCAAAACGGTCCTACATTTCCTTATGCACCTATCCATGGTTTGCCCCAGGATGGGGAGGCCGGGCGACCCACGGGAAATTTGGGATTTTCAGGTTTTCAAATGTCAATTTCCACATCCTTGGGTCTCCAATGTAAGTCAAATCCCCACCCCTGGGGACCACAGACCTTTAGAGTAAGTTAAACGAAATGATAGGCACTCACAACAAGTTTATTGAAGCACTCCTCCAGACAGTAACAATACTTGTTGGCAAATGGTCCCCACCAAGTTTGTGCATTTTCCTAAATGAAGAAGGGATATTCTAGGCATTTAGCATGGTTCAGTTTTGGTTAGCAATTTCACACACATTCTGTACTGCTGCAAATACCTGTGAATTGTTTCACATAGTATTTACAGCAACACAAAATGTGCAATGCCAGAACATGTCGTCATCAAGAGGGGTTAATAAACAAAATTTGTGGTACCAATTATCACAGGTATCACACTGGATCAATTCTACAGTTTCAGCTTTATCATCGTTTAATTTAACATTTGGAGTATATTAGCAAATCTGTAAACACAGAGAGTATCGAAAACTTGAGGCAGGGCGGCATCCTCTGAAGACAGGTAAGTAGGAAGTCAGTTTTGATCTAA